TATTATGAAAAATACGATCACCGTAAGAATACTCATTTTTCATAATAATCTCTAATTATTCGTCCTTGTGAAGCCCAGCCACTGTCAGAGAGATTAATGTATCACTCTACTAGGGCACTTAATCGAAAGATATATCTTTGTTATTATTAAGGAAAGTATATCGTTTACTTCGTACATTTCTTAGTAAAGACAATGCTGACTTTACTATTTTAATCGACATTCAATGTTAACTATAGTTTTATAGAACAATTCAATAAAAGATACAAGTATTTATATATTTTATTTTATAATCGTATTGCAGAAGTTTAAAGAAAGAAAAGATTCATCAAAGTCTTTCAAAATCTTGAATCTTAGTAGACTTTATTACTGACTCCTGTAGTAATTAGTAACACTTCGGCTGTAAAAGGAAAAAGAACAATTTATTAAAATACAATCATATTTTTTACTATTTTCTTTTCTTTTATCATAGACAAAAAAGTATAGAATTTATAAATCTATTAAAGAAAAACTGTTCTTATAATTGAATGAGAAGAAATTGACAAGGTATAAATCCTTCCTTGAGAGCTTTGAATAATAATAAGACAGATATTTTTGTTTTGCAAATTGATGTGGTCCCTAGAGATCACGTTATTATAAGGAAAATTATAACTAAGTAATAGATGAAAGCGTCAATATTTCTATATGTGTTTATGCTAAAAGAATTTATTCTTGTACAAAATTAAAGTCGTTGAAAAATTTTTGAAAATTATTTTTAATCGTATGTGAAAGATATACAAGCTCATCTTGAGATTGATTATATGATCTTCCATTTCCATATATCAAGAAGTAATTAGCACTCTTTTATACCAAATATAAATAGAAAGAGACTACCCCTCTTTATTTTTTATATACAAAGTCTGCTGGTTGATGATTACATTGTTGTTATTGCTGTGTTGATTTTATCGATCTTTCTTATTAAGACAATATTTGCTAAAATAATAATTTCTATGATGATAAACACAGCAGTAACATCATTAACAAGTAATCCAGACCCAATTTTATAATAAAACAGAAATCTATTTACAAATAAGATTTTTTTTTTATTACTAATTACAAAAAGATCGAATATGAATAATAATGTAGATAAAAGGACATCTTTTTTGGAAGAATTTTTAAGTAATACAGATACAGCCGACGTTATTTCGAATGTAGTATTTATTCTAGTCGACAAGTTCCTATAATGATAAAATAAAACTGTTTATTATTAAGGAAATCTTGAGAGTTTGACATAATACTAGAAAAAGATGATATTATTGTTAAGTCAAATAACGGTTCAGTTTCAATCCAGCAAAAGCTTGAAAAAATAGTTAACTTACTTAAAATACTCTAAGCTATCATTTATTATACATCGAATAAATTCTTCCACACACACACGGTCTTGAAAATTTATATAATTTGGAATATTTATTTTAGATACACCTATAGTAAGAAAATAGATTATGTCTAGAATAAAGGTTTATGAAGAGAAAAATATGGGTTAAGTTCCTCCACAATTATAAAATATATAAATATAGGCATCTAGGGATAAATTTTTGTTAATATGATACGTACATATGTTGCTTATAGACCACATGGATGACATTTGATTTACAGCATGCTTGTCGCTAATATCAACAAAAAAATACGTACGACACGTATTGTAACCTTCATTCATCTATTATTTCATAGAAATGTTATCAAAAAACACAACCTTATTGCGTTTATCATGAAAATCAGCGTATGTAAAACATATATTTTTTTTTAAATATTTTTTCAAGAATATTATAATTTATTCGTATTTTAATTGAATCCATGTTAATATAAAATATAGTTTTTTCGAAATAGAAAATTCAATTTCATTAAGATTAATCCATGATGGAAATTCAATCACTTTCGATATATTATATTTAAGTGAAACTATTTTCGAATAAATCACTTTTTTTTCTCTGCGACCAATAATATTTAATTGACAAATATCATCAGAAGAATTAATAGACATTATTTCACATGCATAAAGTATAAATGTTTGCTTGATTGAAGATGATATTACCATTGGATTTTTCCCATCATTATGAATGATAGATGTGTAACCACGTGAGAAAACAGACAGTCTATCATAATTTTTTTGTGAATTTATTAATCGAGCATTTTCTTCGTTTGTATATCGAACATTAATCCAATTTAAACCAGCATAACCATCTTGTATTGAACCAAATTTATTTTCCGTGAGTAATGATTCGAATGTTATTGGTCGATTGTTTGATGATGTTGTAGAATTATCTATTAATAAAAATGTATAATAAAATAAAGAAGAATTTTTGGATGTTTTTACTTTGAATTGATACTGATTTAATTTTATATTGATGAAGTTCATTTTCTAATTGTTGACATCTTTGATAAAGTTGATTTATTTCTACTTTTAATTGTTGATTTTCATTATGATTTACTTTCGGAGATGAAATTTGTTGTTCTAAATAACGATTTCTTGTTAGAATCTCACTGAGTACTGGACGAATTTGTTCATAAGGACATTGTTGAACATGAAAAGAAAGTTGATCACGACGACCATTCCATGGACATCGAATATCAGCTGCTGTACATAAACAATTCATTTGTTTTCGACATATTTTTAAATGATCTTCAAAAGATCCACGTTCAATTCGTTTTTTTTCACAGAATTTACATTTAACTAAAAGACTATCCAGCATATTTAGTATAAGACGTGTTTTAACAGGCATTATATTATTAATATTTTCAATAGAAGAACGACATAAAGGACAAGATTTATTTATTTGAATTTGTTGTAAAATACATGTATAACAAAATGTATGATCACAAGATGTTACATATGGTTTTTCAAATGGATCATTACAAATAGCACATTTAAGATTATCATCAATTGACGATTCATTTAAATATTCATAATCTATCGACATATTTGTATTCTATTGTCTATTTACGAATAAATAAAAAAATATATCTATAACATAAAAAAATTAAATCATATTATTGTGTTTAGGAATATTTAACAAGTATATAACGTATTTATCTTATCTTATAGTTCTTTATATATTCTCTATGTTTATTTTGTTGTCATGTTTTTATTTTTATTATCTACATTTTACACATATTATTAGATATGACTAAGAAAAGTTCTATAGAACAGAGATGAATCATTGATATTTTTTTTATTGAAAATATTGTCTGTTAATTATTATATATTTAAAGTGTACCCCTAGATGGAAAAAAGCACATATAAAGTGGTCCATAAACACTGATAAGAAATTTTAATATCTCTACTTCAGTTTTATGAAACAGGTCGAGTTTTTAGTTATTGGTAGAATTGTTTTTTATATTTATAATGCATGTAAATACCACTTGGAAATCTTAAAGTGGCTTATAAAAGAAATTTTTATCTGTTATATAAAAGATGAAAAATGCATGTTGAAGTATTCTTTGGCTAGTTTTTAGTTGTCATACGACATGAGGAAATTAGATTAAAAGTCATGATTTTCAGCGAAAACATATTTCTTATTTAGTATCAGGTAAAATATCTTATCCAGGTGTTTTTTTTGTTGTCTGTAGTCCACCCTATATAACATCTAAATTAACATGTTTATTATTATAAAAATGACAAAAGCATTTGACATTTATTAAGTATTTATAAGTAAAAAGAGAATGACATTATAGAAAAGATAATTATAGTTCGACTTTTTTTGTCTAATACATAATCAATGTCATTGGAAGTTAAAAAGAACGAAAATACGATCTTCAATTTATTTTACTTTTTGAACTTGGATTTTTTTTTGAAAAAAATAGTACCAAATTTATTTCTTCATGTATACAGGTGTATGATTATTCAATAATAGTCATTTAAAAACAGCTGTTATTTATCTCACCAATGTTTCATATTTCAACTGAAGTTTTTTTTCCTCATAAAATTCTTTCTATTCAATCCATAGTTGTTTATTAATTATGAATTTTCTTTTTAAAATAATAACACGTAGTATAATATTCTTTTGTCGCACGATCAATATATATATGAAAAAGAAAACCACGTACTATATTCATTTCAAGGTCAAAGATAAATGAATATATACTATCATTGACTTCTGACAAAAAAAACCCGTATACTATTAGATTCTATCTATCAAAGGACTTTTCTAGCCGACAGTCACCTTTTGTTTTCTTCATAAAAAGGTGTTAAGGTAATATACAAACATGTCAATGTTTATATATTTGAGTAGAATATGTAACACACTAGTATAATAAATCATCTCTCTATTGATTGTCATAAATTTTATTTCTTAGTAAATATTTTAATAATAAAATTTTCTAACAAAAAAAAAACAATTTATTGCAAATATGAAAATAAAATAGATTAGAATGTATGATATGACTTTATTTTTCTTTCTATCAGTCTATAATATTACAATGGATTGTACATCGTTGGTTAGTTCTACCTTGAGAAAAAAAAAAGAATAAATATCGTAGTTAGTGAAAAGAAAAAGAAAATAATAAATGACTATGCGTAAGAATGCAAGAGAAAAGAGAGAACGATAAAAAACATTGAAAATCAGTATAGTTTTTACTTTTACGGTGCATACACTACCAGTGGTACCTGTATAATAAAATAAAATTTCAGTTACAAAATACGATTCATTTTTTTTATATCAATCTTATTGATTGACAATATCATATTACTTCATTTTTGCCTGATTTTCAGATTGACTTTTTAATCTTCTCTTATCACATCTATGGCGTCTTCAAGTAGTGGTTTGACTGAAAGAAAATTAATTCGTATGTAGAAAATATACTGATATATAGATAGATATATAATTTGTTTTTTAGATGTTCCATCAACAGATAATCATGCTCGATTTAATCTTTCACCTGTGCCAAGTGTTGGCGATGATGATGAAGATGAAGATGATGCTTTTGATCATCAAACTCGACGTGATTATCCTGATATAGATCAAGATGATAGTGGTGAAGAAGTTGATTTAGGTGGTAATCCACTTGATACTACAACTACCGTTACTATGTTTGATCATGATCATGAAGTTACGAATGCTTCTGATCGTAAACAAGATAATGGACAAAGTAACTAGACTTTTGTCTTTTTCTATACAAGAAAAACGAAATCTTATATTTTGATTTAGTGACCAATGTAGCATATGTTGTTCATAAACATTATGAAAATTTTCAAACAATCGATTGGTTAAAAGATTTAATGCGTAATCGTATTCGTCATCGTAATTTACGTGCACAACGAAGACAGAGTTGGAGAAAAAGATTGGCTTTTTGGTTTGATGCATGGAGTGGTTGGATATGTGTTTTATTAGTGGGTATATCAGCTGGTAAGCTATATATTTATAGATTATACTATTATAAATAAACGTAAAATTCTATATATATATTATTTTTCAATAGGTCTTGTAGCTGGTTTTGTAGATGTTGGAGCAAAATGGATGAGCCATTGGAGAACAGGTGTTTGTACACCAGCATTTTGGCTTAATCGAGAACAATGTTGCTGGGGTTCACGAGATGTTACATTTGATGATGTTCATAATGAACTATGTAGTTCTGTATGTTATTATTATGTCAATATATAATAAATAAATAAAAAGTTCTCAATAACATTTATTTAGTGGCAAACATGGTCAGCTATCTTTGGTATGGATGAATTACTAGTTAGTGCTTGGTTTTTTCGATATTTTATGTTTATATTTTGGTCTGTTATATATGCTACATTTATTGTTATACTTGTTGTTGGTTCTGCACCGTATGCTAGTGGATCAGGTAAAATAAAATATTTATATCAATAGAAGTTATTTAAAAATTTCTCTCTTTTAGGTATTCCGGAAATTAAAACAATTTTATCAGGTTTTATAATGTATGGTTACTTGGGTAAATGGACATTTTTAATAAAAAGTATTGGAATGATATTTGCTACGAGTGCGGGTCTTATTGTTGGTAAAGAAGGTCCATTTGTACATATTTCTTGTTGTTGTGGAAATCTTTTTTCAAGTAAATTAAAACAAATTTTTAATTAAATATAATAATATTTTTTTCTTATTATTATTATTTTTTTTAAAAAAATAATTAGAACTTTTTCCAAAATATGGTAATAATGAAGCACGTAAACGTGAAATATTATCAGCAGCTGCTGCAACAGGTGTTTCAGTTGCTTTTGGTGCACCTATTGGTGGAATTCTATTTAGTTTAGAAGAAATAAGTTATTATTTTCCGTATAAAACATTATGGCGAACATTTCTTTGTTGTATGATTGGTGCACTTGTTGTACGAATAATAAATCCATATGGTAATGGACATGAAATTCAATTTCCTGTTGAATATAATGTACCATGGGCAATATTTGAAGTTATACCATTTATTGGTCTTGGTGCACTTGGAGGTTTATGGGGAACATTATTTATAAAAACAAATATACGTTGGTTAAAATATAAGAAAACTAGTCGAATTGGACAATATCCACGTGCTGAAGTTATTATTTTAACTTTAATAACAGCTATTATTTGTTATCCAAATAATTATTTAAGATTAACAATGCCTGAATTAATCAGACGTTTAGTTGGACAATGCCATGTTGAAGATCATATGGATCTATGGTACGTACTACATATCATAATTACTTTTATAGATAAAGATCATTTTAACAATACAATACAGTTACTTTCTTAGTATATGAAATAATTAGAATAAATATATATTTTTATTTTTCTAGTGATTATCAACGTGATAAACCAATTGGAACAGCAACAGCTAAATTATATGCTGCTTTCGCTGGTCCTGGTCTTCATCGTGCTATATGGCAATTATTTTGGGCATTAATTGTTCAAGTAATACTTATTATATTTACAATTGGTATTAAAGTTCCATCAGGTTTAATTGTTCCTAGTATATCAATAGGAGCTATTGCTGGTCGTCTAATTGGTATTATAACAGAACAAATAGCATTTCAAAATCAACATTTAGCTATATTAAGACGTGAATGTGGTGTATCAAATGAGCATTGTGTTACACCTGGACTTTATGCTGTTGTCGGTGCATGTGCATTTTTAGGTGGAGTTAGTCGAATGACTGTTTCTCTTGTTGTTATTATGAGTGAAGTAACTGGTGGATTATCTTATATTGTTCCATTGATGATTTCAGCATTAACAGCAAAATGGGTGGGTGATGCATTTGGTGAAGGAATCTATGAAGAGAATGTTAAATTAAGTGGTTATCCATATTTAGAAAATCGTGAAAGTTTTCGATTTACTTTAAAAGCAGGTGAAGCAATTCGTGCAAATCGTTCAGGTGAACCAATTCCATTAGCATGTATATATCAAGATGGTATGACAATTGCACAAATTGATTTACTTGTACGTCGTCATCCCCATTCAATTTATCCAGTTGTTATTAGTGAAGATTTTCCTTGTATTGTTGGTCAAGTTCAACGAAGAGATTTATTAGCTGTACTTAAATCACGTAAAACTCAATTAACATTTACACATACAAAACCATTACTTAATAGAAAAGTATCTGTTGTATCAATGTCAAATTTATTAAATAAATCAGGTCAACCATCAACATTAGGAATGAGACGTGCATCAATAGCTTTACAAGCATCAAAAACTTTACAATTACATAAATTAGTTGATCGTGCACCAATTCTTGTTACGGATCAAACACCAATGGAAGCAGTCATAGATATGTTTAGAAAATTAGGTTGTCGACAAATATTTGTGACGAAAAATGGGTAAGAAATTTTATCTTATTAATTAATAGGAATATTATTATTATTATTTTTGTTCTAGTCATCTTCAAGGTATTTTAACTCGAAAAGATATTATTCGATTGATGCATGAAGCAAATGTATCAGACAAATTTGAACGTTAGGATAGATCTGTTTTTTTTTTCTAAAAATACATGTAACTTTTCTTCATTTTTTTATGAAATTAGAAACAAAATGTATTTTTAAATAAAATTTTTAATTTATTCATTTGATATTTTACAATAAGGAAAAAACGTTGGCGTTAATTTAACGTCGTAAATCTGCTACTATAATTATTTTTTTGACCGAGATATCTATTGTCAGAAACAGACAACAATATCTCTTTGACGTCAATGAATTATTATTTAACATATATATACTGTTGCGTGTTAAAATCTTGAATAGAAAATCTTTATACATCATGAATATATCTTCACCTCCACCAAATGGACCACCATCTAGTAATTCTGGTCCTCCTCGTCCAGGAGGACCTCCTCCGATGCCAACTATTACGGCTCTTCAAAATGATATTGCACTTTATGGTTATGCTCTATTATATATACTTGCTTTATTTGGTCATATAAGTAGTTTTTTAATTTTTCTTCGACCAATACTTAATCGTATATCAACAAGTTGTCTATTTATTGCATTAACTATAACTGATTCTATTTATCTATTAGTGAGCATCTATGATTTTATCAATATTGGTTTTGAAATTCGAGATTCATCAAAAGATCCTTCAGCTATATGTCGATTTCGTAATTTTATTCAATGGACAGCTATGTGTTCAAATGCATGGTTATTAGTTGCAATTGTTACTGATCGATGGATACGTGTCAAATTTCCATTTAAATCAAAACAAATATGTACACCACGAAATGCTTTAATAATAACAATTATTATTGTTATTCTTAGTGCTGGTTTTAATGCACATATACTTGAACCTAGTTATGGTCAACTACCAGCTGGTATTATGACTGTATGTGGACCAAAACCGACCAATGCTATTTATAATACATTTGTTCGACAAATATGGCCAACAATATTTTCATGTATTCAAACACTTATTCCTGTTATTTTATTGATGATTTTTTCAATTGATACATTTCGTCGTTTAGCACGACAAACAAGAATTCAAAATACTCATCAAGGACGTCGTCGAACTCATCTTGATAATCAAATGTTATTGATTATGTTAGCTACAATATTATTATTTGTAGCAACAACTTTACCATTAGGTTTATTTAATATTTTATTAACACCAGTTCTTGTTGGAAAAATGACACAAACACAATTATTACAATTATCATCTATATTTACATTTATAGCTGCTATTAATTATACTTTTAATTTCTATATACATTGTTTAACAAGTCGATTATTTCGACAAGAACTTTTATATATTTACAAATGTCGAAATAGAAATACTCAAATAGGAGTGGCAACAAATACAATTCGATTAAATCCAACAGGAATTGCAATGACACAAATTCAAGTAAAATAATCATACAAAACTATGCTCTTTTTTTGTATCATCAGATGAGGGTCAGTGTGGGCAAATAAAAGATGAATTCACATCCTCAATTTATTTAAACAATATATTGATAAGTAGCAAAGGAGAATATCTTTACTAATTCTAATTGAATTAAAGTTGATTTATTTTCAATACATTATCTATATTTATATATATATATGTATATAAGACAATAAACATTAACAAGAGTTTATTTTTGAAATATCGAACTACAATATGAATAATGTCTTGATTCAAACGATTTTAATCGCTTTTCAATTATAAAGTGAAAAGAAGAAAACGAAAAAAGAAGGATGGATGAATTAATTCCAATTAGCTCGACGACGACCATAAAACTAAATAAAATCATTCAAAAAGATAATTTCAAATAATTTGACTTACTTTAGGTTCTACAGCTGTAGCAGAAATAACAGCTTTTTGTTGACGCATTAATTGATCCATTTGTCGTTTATCTTCTCGTTCCAAAGCATCTTGTTTTTCTAATTCCAATCGAGATTGTGCTCGTTCTTGTTTTACAATTGATACCTGAAACACAAAAATAAGACTTTATTTCAAAAACAAAATCGAATTAATTTTTACTTGTCTTTGTAAATCTTGTTTCTTATCTTCTCTTTCTTTGATTTGTTTTTGTTTTTCAATTAAATCATATTTTCTTGCTTGTTCCATTTCAGCTATAAGTGCTTGTCGTTTTTCATATGTTTCTTGTTGTTGTTCTTTTAATGCGTTTAATTTTTCCATAACTTGTTCTTGTCTTTCATCCATAACTTGTCGCATCAATTTCTCACGTAATTCTTTTTCATGTTCCCATTCTTGTTCACGTCGTGCCCATTGTTTAGCAGCTTCTTCTCTATTTTCGAAAAGAAAAACAATCAATATAGAAATCGATTTTCTGTTTTTTTTCTGAAAAATAAGAAATTTACTGAAACATCGAATCAAGTTCTTGTTCTTTTTCTTTTTCTAATTTCATTTGTTGTTGAAATTGTTGAAGCATATGTAATGCATCACGTCTTAATTGTTCACGTTGTTCAGATTGTTCGATACGACTTTCTTCATCGGCATGAGCAATTGATGAAAGAATTTTCATATCTAATTCCTAAAAATAATTTAAAATTATTCAATGAAAAAATAATCATGAAATAAAACAAACCAATTTTTCTTGAACTTCTTTAGCTCGTTTATGTAATTTTGCTTTATGTTGACGTAAAAGTTGACGACTAAATATAACAAGAATAGAAGAAGAATTAAATGAAAAAAATCATACCCATAATCTTGTTGAACATAACGTTTTTCCATTTGTTGTTTTGCTTCTTCATATTGATCTAATTCCCATTGTTCACGTAAGAGACGTTCTTCTTCTTGTTTTAACAATTCAGACTAAAAATAATAAATAATCAAATTAGAGAATCTCTTCAAAAAGATCTCAATGTTTACTGATTATTATCTACTATGAATAGTCCGTCAATAGACAATACGCGCGCGAAGGAAAATAATTAAATAATTGCTTCTAGAGTAGAGCGTACACGAAAACAAGCTTATATTGATTCTGCTCAGCGAAAAGTCCTTTTTAGTTTCAAACACGTTATTAATAATCTGACCGGAAAAGGTTAGAGAACTCAAAAATGATAAATCCCAATTACCTCTTCTTCTTTATCTCGAAGTTCATCCATTTGTTCTTGTAAAATATATTTTAATTGATCAATTCTTCTTTTTCTTTCATTTTGTTCTTCTTGTTCTAATTGTTCTTGTTCATTGATACGTTGACGTAATTCTTCTTGATATTTTAAATTCATTTCTTCTTCTTCTTGTTGAGCTAAACGTTTTTCATTAAGTTGATCCGACCAAATTTCAGGTTGTAAATTTTGTAATTTTTGTTGTTCAATTGAACGTAAATCAGGATCATTTGCTATCCAATGTTCATATAATTTTTCATCAGCTACAGCTTTACGTTCTTTTTCTCGAGCTGAACGAAGATTTTCAGCACGCATTTTCATATCAGGAACTGATTCACGTGCTGATGATTGACGAATGGATGATAATTCATTCTTTTTACAAAAACAAAATATTTTTTTTATTATTTAAATTAAATAATTTTACTAACCTGAAATTGAAGTTTTTCACCTTCAAGAATAGCAGCAAGATGATTACGTCGTTGTTCAAGTTTATTTAATTTTTCTTCTTTATCTTGTTCACCACGGTATGCTTCATTACTTGAATAAAATCATTTAATTATCAATAGATAAATAATAATAATAAATATTTTTACCTGATTACAGCTGAAGTAGGTGATGTCCAATGACTATGGACGGAATTATGACGTGTTTGTGCTTTAAAATAATTAGCTGTTTGCGCCCATTGAGCTCTAGAAAATAGTAAATAAAATAAGATATAGAATGAGTTGATTCTTTTTTACTTTTTTTCAGCTTCAATTTCTTGTTTTCGTTGTATTATCTGTTGAGGTGCTTGCAATTGTTTTATAGCATAGCGCGATTGTAATGTTGGAAGTACCATGTTCGATTTTCTGAATATGTGAAATTAAATTGAACAATTATTCAAGAATGAATTTAGATTGGATCAAGAACCATGAAGTTAAACTATTCTATGGTAGTTACCTTCGTTTGTAAATTTACATTTTCACATTAAATATTTTTATCAAATTAAGAAAAGTATTTTATTATAGTACTTATTTAAATGTTTTTTCTTAATCAAATGTATTAATTTAAAATATATAGAATAGAGGGCACTAGTGTATTATTAATTGTAATAGTCTTGAAGACTTCTAAGTGAGTTTAATTAGCTTTCCGAATGTTATAAGCCATCAATTTACTGTTAATTCTTCTTCTTTGGTTAGTAATCTATAGATTTAATCAATTACATGATATATGTGACTGTAGTATAAATAGATATGTTTTTCTTATTGGGAGTCAGCTGTATGAATAATTATTCTTTATAATGATTTATGTGACACATATTATTATTTAGAATAATAGATTTTATATTTAAAATCATAAAAATAAAAAAAAAATGTCTTTTCTATATTTATTTTGAAATTATACAGATTCGTATTTTCCTGATGATGTTGCTGAATTTCCTTGAAAACAATTTCGAATAGAATTAATACAAAATCTACAACCAGTGAGTGCTAGTCCAACAATAAGTAACCAAAAACCTGGATGTGGTAAAACTGCTAAACCAGTTTGTTTTTCTTTAAATCGATTGTATAAAATACCACCAAGCAAATAAACAATCACTAAAACAAGTAATATAATAATAAAAACAGTACCACCTGATACACCACCTTCTTTAATTGGACAAGCTCCTGCTGCTTTAACTGTAATATCAAATTGACACGTAGGATTTTCTTTTACATCCATTGTTGTTGGATTTGTAATACTTGTATCACAAATAAATGTAATTTTTACAAGACGTTCATTCATATTACATTTAGCATTGCGCATAGTCATAACAACTCCAGTACCTGGTCCTTGTGGATTTTCTTTAAATTCAAGATTAGGAGATTTACCATATCCATCAAGATAACCCATAGCTGATTCAAAACTACTTGTTGCAATTCGTTCTTGACATGAAGTTATACCTTTGTCTAATGGAGCTGGACTCTTTCCACATTTATCTGCTGGAACTATACCACAAGGAGTAAGAAGATATCGAAATTGTGTATCGCCACCTGAAAGTGTTAAATGATCTAATTTATTAAGATCATATTTATTTGCACCAAATGTTTGACGACATGAACTAAGTGAACTATCAATTGGAATAATATTAACTAAAGTTAGAATTAAATAAAACAACACCATGGTTGACATTGTTAGACGAAAACAAAATATAAAACGTGTCTAAACGAAGATAACATAGCTTTTTCTTGACATTACTTATCATTTATCAACATAATACATTAGACTGTTTACATCTATTTCGTTTTCTTTTTTCTTCAAATGAGCCAATAAATTTTTATTCACAACTTTTCATTCATTTTTAAATAGAAACGTCTATCTGCATTTCATTTCATATTGAAATTGAAATACAAGTATTACAAATATAGAAAAACAAAACACAAAAAAAAGAAAAGAAAAAAACTCATCAAATTGAAATTAAAATATAGATGAATTATTAAAAACGTTCATGATATTTATTATTTGGTACAAATGAAGTATTATGACTGTTCTCATTTAATTTTTGTTGCTGTTCATATTCATATTTAAGTTGAGCTAATATATGTTCATCCTTTGGTTGATTAACATAAATAGATAAATAATGAAATAATTTTTGTATTAATTGATCATTTGCTCGAATTTGCTTTACATGATTTACTTCATTTAGTTTATATTGATGTAATTGTTCATATAAAAATTTAAGTAAATCTTCATATTCAAATTCAACTTCATTTGATAAACGTTGAGATTTTTCACAAGTTATTATTTTGGTTTGAAGGTCATCGATTGTAGTACGACATGATGAGATTTCACGTCGAAGTTCAAGTATAAGTTCAGTATCATTTGTAGGATTAGAAGACTGAGCAGATGAGGAAAAAAATGGGATAAGAAGATTTATACGTTCTCCGAGAAGAACACTTGATTGACGTTCAAAATCTTTTAATGTTATTCGACCATCTATTAAATAAAAAAAAGAGAGAGATAGACAAACAGTTTTAACATGAAAGTTTCAAACACCCTCAAGTGCGTGAACAGGGGTACGGATTGATCCATTCTGACAAGCCGAAAAGAAACTTATCTAGTTACCGGACAAAACGTCGCAGGCGTATGGCTCAGTGAGGGTGAAGATGCATCGAATATCAACATCCCACGTAGATACACTGTCCAACATCAAAGATTTATTAGCAATTCATTTTGTCCTAGCGTCACTTATCTTTTCCCATTCCTGGTTACGTCACTGGTATTAAAGATCTCGATTTGTTCAAAAATTTTACAATAGATATCCATATAAAAAAAAAGATTTTCAATAATTTCTTACCAGTATTGGTCTCCGATAATTGTTCTATAAATTGTAATTCTCTTTTTTGATTATTAGAAAATAATTTTGGATAAATTTTTTTAAGTAAATCAACAAGATCAATTAATTTAAATCTTGAATTCAGTAATGCTTGAAGAGCATCATTTGATATATTCATTTGTTTATTGCTTTCTTGTTGTTCACGTTTATTATTTTCATATGCTACATTATAAGTACTATATCGATCTGATTGATCATGATTATGTTGTTGTTGTCGATGATGTCGCCGAGATGATTTTTTCGTTCGACTTTCATTTAATGTGGGATTATTATTATTATTTTTATTTTGGCTAGTATTATGAGCACGATGATTATCGTCATCATCATCAGTAGATTTATCATCATGTAATAATTTTTGATATTCAACTGATGATAATTGCGGGAAAAAATGTTTAACACGAAATCGTACTTGATTTGTTGCAGCGGCTGAACGAAGTAAATTAACGGCATGCTCGCGACTAATACCAATTGATGATTCATCATTTATTGAAAGAATTTGATCACCAATCTATAGTTAAAAAAAATAATTTATTCTATCGAATAATATTTGTAATAAAAAAAATTTTATTACTTTTAATCGTCCATCTTTTTGTGCTAATCCATTATCAAGTAATTCTTTAATATAGATACCTGATTTATTTGTTGCTCGTTTAAATCCTAAAATTCTAATACCAAGTCCATTTCGACTATTTGCATATACAATTAATTCTTCTGTATTCGTCATTGATAGAATATCATAAAAGCAGAAATATATATCGGTGGGTGGAATAATAGCGCATAGCGCTTACAAAATACTATGTTAATTTTAACCTTGTATGCATGCGCGCAAATGAAGAAACAGAAGAGTGAATTAAAAATCAGTCAGTCATAGATACTTCAATATATTCCTATAGGATACAACATTGGACAATCAAATTTATATTTGAAAACCCTATATTGATAATCTTTCCTATAGGGACATCTATAGTTTAAATTCGGCATGTTCGTAATATATGTCATTCAATTACATACATTATTTATTATACTAATCATATTTACCTGGATTTTTATTTATGTTTAATTAAAAAGTATTATTGAATATTAGTTAAAAGTGATGTGCTCTAATTTCTATTTTATTATTATCTTAATACTAACTATGGTATCTTTTAAGAAAAAACTAAAATCAATGTAGAAATATTAAAAGATCTAATAGATTTGTGTTTACACATACCTGGAGTAGAAATATCCATGGTAACTAAAATATCTCTTAATTCATTGATTATATTGTACTATAATTAATTATCAATATCAAATCATATCATATTATTCCAAGACAAAGTGTCATACTTATAGAAGCTAAACTGCTACTACTAATGTAGTTTTTTAACATGCTTAGAAAAAATGACGCAGAACAAGGGCGTACCGAAATCCTGAAAGCAAAGTAGGGATGGACATAGGTCATATTTTTACTATTTTCAATATAAAATCTAAAAATAGGTGGAGATGTCACGCTCCACACGTTCCGCTCTCGGTACGTCACTGGAAAAGACAGAACGTGATAACTTTCTACATGTTTTTAATAGTGAACAGTTTTCTAATTCATTTCGAAATTTGATAGATAAATAGAGATGTCACTATTAGACAAAAGATGGACAAATTTAAAATAAAACAATAAATGATTGGTGAAGAGAACTGATGTGTTGATTGATAAAGATGAATCATTAATGAAATAACTCGCCCGTTACAAATACGCATACCAATTCATACAGAGGACCCAATTGCGCACTTGCTCTAAGAACATTTACATAACATTCTTTTTTTTAATGATATTTTAGCTTATATAATATTTTAAGATTTCATAAAACTTACTTAATAAATAATGTCATCTGTGATTGTATGTATTGAATTAGATTTTTAAGATTGATTTTCATTGATTCTGTTCTTTAATTTGTAGGATAAATATAAACGAAAGAAAAAAGAAAATCAAGCTGCTAACAATTCTAATGCATCATCAACTGATGTTGGAGTTATTCGAATTGGTCATTATATTCTTAATGAAACATTAGGAACGGGAAGTTTTGGAAAAGTGAAAAGTATTGAATTTGAATAAAAATAGAAATAATAAATAAAATGTTAATTGATTATTTATTTTTCTAGAAGCATATCATCAATTAACTAGACATACAGTTGCAATTAAAATTGTTAATCGTACAAAAATTAAACAATTAGATGTTGTTGGAAAAATTCGAAGAGAAATTCAAAATTTAAGACTTTTTCGACATCCACATATTATTAAATTGTAAAGAGAAAATATAATTCTTTTTTTCATTCTCAATTAAATATTTTAATTAGATATCAAGTGATTAGTACACCAACTGATATATTTATGGTTATGGAGTATGTAGCTGGTGGAGAATTATTTGATTATATTGTTAAAAAAGGAAAAGTATGTTTCGTTAGAATAAGATTTTCTTTAAATAGATTATTCTATTTAGTTAAGTGAAGCTGAAGCACGACCATTTTTTCAACAGATTATATCTGGTGTTGATTATTGTCATAGACATATGGTCGTATGTATCTTCAGTTTTTTTTAATTATCTTTTTTAAAAATTCTTTTTTTCTTAGGTTCATCGAGATTTGAAGTACATTGAATTTTTTTGAATTTTCTGTTTTATGAATATATATTTTCTAGACCAGAAAATCTTCTTCTTGATGATGCATCTCATGTTAAAATAGCTGATTTCGGTTAGTTAAATAATCAAATTATTATTATTAGTAGATTTGTTTTTTTGTATTTAGGTTTATCAAATATAATGAAAGATGGTGAATTATTAAAAACATCATGTGGTTCACCTAATTATGCTGCTCCTGAAGTTGTCTCAGGAGAGTAAGTAATAGATATTTTTTTCGTATTCAAATAATATTATAGAAAATTTTTTTATCTAGATTATATGCTGGACAAGAAGTTGATATTTGGAGTTGTGGTGTTATTCTTTATGCTTTACTAACAGGAACTGTATGTTTTCTATAATTCATATATACATCTAATTATATTAATATTCTTTTCTTTAAAGTTACCTTTTGATGATGATAATGTTCAAATATTATTCAAAAAGATTCGATGTGAGTTTTCGATGAATGAAAATGATAAATATTCATGTTTATTTCTTATAGCTGGAATCTTTCCAATTCCTGATTATTTAAATCCATCCGTAGTTGATCTTCTTCAAAGAATGCTTACTGTTGATCCTGTCCGTCGTGCGACAATAAAAGAAATTAGGTAATTTTTATTCATTTGAAATAGTTTGTTTTTATCAACGAAAAATCGTTTTTGTAGAGAACATGAATGGTTTAAAGTAAATTTACCTGATTATTTATTTCCAAAAACATGTGAAGAAGGTACAAATATAATTGATCTTGATGCAATACAAGAAGTTTGTGAGGTAAATTTATACTTTCAGATTGATTTAGTTTTATAAAATCAAAATAAAATAGAAATTTGGTATAAGTGATTCGGAAGTTCAAGAAGCTTTATTAATTAATGATCGTCATGATCAGTTAGTTATTGCTTATCATTTAATAATTGATAATAAACGAATATGGAATGAAGGTTTGTTATGATTTTCCTTTTCGAAAAAAAACGTTTTTTTTATTTAGCACGTAAAGTGGAAATCGCTGATTTTTTTGCAGCATCAAGTCCGCCGCATTCATCATTTTTAGCTATGACAGTAAGTTAAATTAAATGTATATCTATACAAAATAAGAAGAATATCAAATCATATTTCAGCCAAATTCAGCATCAGCTCGTTCTCCATCACCATTTGTAAGTTAATTTTATTGTATTGATCTAGAAAATATTTCTATTTATTGAGATTAAAAAAAATAAAATTCTTGATTATTATTTTCGCTTTGTATAGTTTCAAAAACCGGTTTATATAACACAGGTTGTACATAGTTTGCCTCTAAATTGATAAAATCACATGATTTATTATAAATTTTGACTCCACATTCTTGCTTTTAATAAAAATAAGATTTTGAAATATTAATTTAATTTTTTCTTTGAAATAGAAATCATCTCCAGTTCGACCACATCCAGAAAAAATGCCAGGTTAGTTCAAAAAATTTATTTTTTTTAAAAACTACATTGTTTTATTTTTCTATTCATACAAAATAGCATTAAGAGATTTAAGTGTAACATTAGATCCACTTAGTGCACATAATTCAACGAGTAATCCTTCTAACAATACACATAATTCTCACTTAAGTACATCACAAAATCTAAAATCTTCCAATTCAACAACGAATAATGGAGCTAATGCTACTTCATTAAAAAAAGCAAAATGGCATTTAGGTATTCGATCTCAATCAAAGCCACAAGATATTATGAATGAAGTATTTAAAGCAATGAAAGAATTAGGAATGGTTCGTTTATTTATATATATATCTTTTTTGTCTTCTAATATTAATAAAATTTTGTAAATTAGGAATGGAAATTTTGTAATAATAGTATGTACAGCATTCGAGCACGACGTAAAGTTTCCAATACAAATCGATATGTAAGTATAATAAAAAAGAAAAGTGCACTGGCCGGGAATCGGACCCGGGTCGCCCGCGTGGCAAGCGAGCATTCTACCACTGAACCACCAGTGCTTATTAATATCATTAATCCTTTAATCTTTTAAGGTGAAACTGGGTCTTCAATTATATCAAGTTGATCATCGATCTTATTTATTAGATTTTCGTAATTTAAATGCAAATACAGATGGTCATCATCCAATACTTAGTGCTCAAGCTGGTATGATATATATATATATTCTTTGTTTTTCTCTCAATACTATTGTTGTTTTCTTTGTAGGACTTCTTGGTAATGATGATACTGAAATGGAAAATCTTGAACCAAATCGTTCATTAACATGGGAATTTGGTGAAACTGATAATGTACAAAAATCCCCGTCCGAAGAACCCGTATCTGAAGTAATGGAATTTTTCGAAATGGCTGCAAGTCTTATTCGTACATTAGCACCTGATTCTACGCCGAAAACAAATGCAACATCAACTTCTTCCTAAATAACATTTATACATATATTATTATTTTTTTTGCATCTATGCGTATATGTACATATTTGCCTTTTTCTTTCGTTCGTTTTTTTTCTTCTTTTCTTCTTCTCCTTTTGTAGTCTTTATTTGTAGTCGCTCGCGTCCTTGTCTCTCTCTTTGTATTTTTTATTCTCCTTATTCATTGTTATTTAAAAAACATAAAATAAAGATAGTGATTTGAGGAGAAATTTATCGAATTATTTTATTGAAATATGTAATTTAAAAAAACAAGAAATATTTGATTAATCGAAATTATGATTGACTTGAATTTGATGAATTGAATTTTTGAGTTATATTAGGTTTATTATGAGGAAAAACAAACCAAGGTGGAAAATAATGTTCACGTATACAATTTTGTGATGGTACAGGATATGTAAGATCATGAAGAACATTTCCACCAGCTAACCATGCAGCCCACCATCCATAACTACCAGCTGTAACAATTGTATGTTCACATAAAGCTAATGCAGCTAAATCATCACCAGAAAAAAATGATTTCGGAGTTATAAATATATCCGAATTATTTGCAAGATTTTTTTGAGCATAATCTTTATCATCACTAGCAATTAAAAATCGACAATTGATATATTTTCGACGATAATAATTCATTGCATAATTCAAATATTCGACACTTGTATCGATTTTAAAAAATGTTAAAAAATCACCACGACGTATATGAATTGCAATCCATGTCACAGGTATTAATGGAGATGGTGGTTGAGTTAAAAGTAATTTTAAATATTTATGAGTTACATTATCTTTTGTATATATACCAAGATTTAATGGAATATTCCAAACAGCTAAAAAGAACGTTAATATATTTTATGTCAGACAAAAAGATAGTATCTTCATTCTTTGACATAGACAATCATCTATTATGTCTTTTATTTAGTACAAATTATCGATTGAATGAATAGAAAAGTTAAAGCATGATAATGTATTCATGTAGGTAAATAACTGATGGTAAAGATAAAAATGATGAGTCAATAATCAAATGACTGATGACGTCAAGGAAAATCATGATACGATCTATGTTCTCATCGACGACTCTATTTATTTTGTCAATCTTATTTACATTCATATTTTCTTGTTTTTCATCAAATAAAACAAACCTTTAAGAAGTTGTTCAACTAATGGTACATTATTTATAATTGAACCTTGATTAAATTGAAATAAATATGTTATTTCATCTTTATATTTAATAAAATACCCAAATGCTTGATAAAATCCAATCATTTCATAAAAAGTTAAATTTGATTTTAATGGAACTTTTAATAAATCATCAAATAATGTACATGAACTATATCGTCCATATAAACCAGGTTGTTTTAAAATTGAATCTTTTGTTATTAAATGAATAGGTGTATCTTGTAAATTAATTGTAAATACAGATCGAAGATCTGTTAAAATCCATGGTGCAATATAAAGATCACATTGATGAAGACGTGCTAAACCATATGCACTAGCAAATAAAAACATACGATTTCCAATAGCTCCATCAGCTGTACGAATTATAATTATACATGTTGGCTTTTGAGATTTATCAGATGTTCTAATAACATAATCAGGTTTAAATTTATCTTTAATATTATTTAAAAAAGAATAATCAGGTGGAAGTGTTAATTGACTCGAAGAAGAAATATTATTATAATAATTATTTATATAAACAACTGTTGATTGTGGATCTGTTTGATCAAATAAAAAATAATAAAGAATAAGCAATGCAGTTAAAATACAGAAAAAGATTGCAATAAATTTAGTAACTGTAATTCTTGATTGTTGTAAATAACGACGAATATCAATATTACATTGAGACAATGAAGGGCACTTCATTAATTAATTGTAGCCAACAGAACAAATAATCATTTACTCTTAGATTTTACTTTCACTATTCTTTGTTAGTATATTCCATTTTTTTTCTTTCAAAACCACCAATAAAACTCTTATATTTTTCAGTCATTTTCTTTTCTATTTGTTCGCTCATTTTTCTTTTTTACTTTCTTTGTGCAAAATTATATTGAAACCTTTATGTGTTATACTTCAGAAGAAATTTCACAAAAGAAAAAACGAGAGAAAAAAAAAAGGGAAATAAAATTTTTATATTCAGTCATCAACGTAAGTTTTAATAATATAAAAGAAATTCTGTAACCAACTATTTTTTTTCTTTTTCTCTTTCGCACCATTCTTCAACCGTTGAAAGCATTGCACACAAATATTTTTTTTTAGAATTAAAAAACAACACGAATTGTAAAAATCATTTTTAAGTACTCAGAAATATTAAAATAAAATTTGTCTATCTACGTTACTATTCTTAATAATAAACAAACGTAAAAAATATTATGTATTCTCAACGGATACTATTAACAAGTATCGATCGATTGTGTCAACATATATTTCATAAACCAATAAATTGTTTATGCAACTGTCGTGCTACATTATTTCTGATCTATCATACCTGATTTTCAGTTTTCGACGGACTATTTTTCGTAAAAAGTGTATCAAAAAGAAATATGAGTAGTTAAAATTTTATATAGTCCTCTTATACGGTGTCTTTTTGTAAGCATTGAACATATTTTAAAGAGTTCTAAAATATAAAAAATGGCCAGAAAATAATATTCATGATTTAATATTGTATCTGCTGTCTTGTTATTACTTTATGATTAATAATAAGTAATAATTTTTTTTTAATGACCTACTATCATTAATAAAGTAATTAATACAAAAAGTAGGTTATAAACAAAAACTGTAAATTCTACTATGAATAAAATAATAAAACTAACATAATTACGAGTGAAAAGTAATAAACTATATATAAAAAAACTAATAGGTGAGCGTAATGCAGCACCTCTACTGTTGACTAAAAATATATTATTGTAGAGAGTATCTTATTTAAATATATAGGAATGAGTAAATATAAATAAGATATTTTTAGAAATATTTATTCAAATAATTCTTTAACTATGATCGTTTCCAAATAAAAAACAAATATCAGTCGTTATTTACCATTAACAGTCTTGTCATTTACCTTATGATTTACGCATGAATGCATTAGGTACCATTGATCATCAACACAAAAAAGACGAAAGGAAAAAAAACGATACGAATAGAAAAAACAGGAACGCATCACTGTCGTTATGATTGGCTCCCTATATATTTACACACAACAAGGATTCATATATACGTCTATAGCCACGAAGTGTACGCAAACAAGTCGTTATTACTAACCTTCAGAATATATTTTATACAACACAATAATGGCTAAAAAAGCCACTTCAACAAATCTATCTTCATCGGAATTTAATGATGAAACGTCTTCAGAAGATCAACTAAGAAAATCAACCAAAAGAAGAAGTAAAAAAGGTTCTATTAAAAGTTATGTTAGTGATGTATTAACTAAACATGACAGTGATGAAGGAAGAGCAACAGATTTAGCACAAACTCGTATTAAAATTGATACATCATCGAATAATTTTCGAAATTATGAAAATGCTTCAGCTTTTCGACAATATGGATCCAATGCTGAAGGTACAAGTAGAACGAATGCTCATCGGCAAGGACAATCTTCGAGTAGTGATGATGAATTGAAACAAGACACGTCGACGGCACACGTAAAAAACCTTTTTATTTATATAAAAAAAATAAACTATAGAAAAATATTTTTCTCTTAGTCAGGTGGTGATGGAGATGATTCAATAGCAGAATTAAATTTAGATCCAAATCCAATATTTGAAGAACGTGAAAGTGCTGAACAAGTATATAAACAAAAAGTTTATTTACGACAATTACAACCACCAACACCTCAACCACTTGAAATTCAAGTACAAGAAGTTTTAATAAAACCACAAATACAAAAATTACCTATTCATGTTCATGTTGGTCATCAAGAACCTCGAACACCATCACCAATTGTTATTAAAAGTGCACCACCTCCAGCTCCACCAGAAGATTCAGGTCAACCAATAATTTATAATAAATATCTTCCACCGCCAAAACAACCACCTCAACAAGTATACTCTTTATTTTTGTATTTTTGCTAAAAATAGACAAAAAAAATATATTTGTATTTTCCCCCCTCTCTAGATAATTATTCATCGTCATGCTGATTTACCACCTAAACCACGTATGTGTCTTGTTTATTGATCTATAGAATTTTTATTTTTCTTCAAAAAGGTCCTATTGTTGTTGAACAATGGTTACCCTATAAACCTGCACCAAAACGTATTATTAAACATTCATTACCCCGTGAATTACTTCAAACACCACCTCCACCACATAATATTATTGTTGCATATTCTAAACCACGTGCACTTATTGAAGTTGAACTTGTTCGTTTACCAGTTGTTCGAATTGATCCTCAAACATATCAACAGATAAGTGCTGGTGGAGAAGAACAAATATTACAACATCCATCATTTCAACATGAAAGAAATTATCTTTCAGGGAATAATTCATCAAATCGAACAAATAATGATTCAAATCGAATTAATTGGCGTATTTAGACAATAAAACAGATTGATTTTTATTTCAATTTCTATACTTTCTAGTGCTATTTGTTTAAAAAAAGAACGATGAGTATGGATATTTTAACACTGAAAAGTTCAACTAATAAAACTAAACATGAAATCTATAGATTGATGAGAAAGTATTCTTAAAAAACAATAAACTTTTAATAATTATTATTTATTATCAAACACTCTAATCGGGCGGTTTTATTTCAAAACAAATTACAAAAAAATTAAATTAAATTATATTTAAAAATCAAAATCAAATGAATTTTCTTTAAAGATTATCTTTTACATATTTAACAATATCATCAAGCATAACATGAGCTATATCTAATTCAAATATTCCTTCTAAGAAAGTTAATGATCCATGAAAAGTATGTTCAAAATGATGATGTACTATTTTAACACCACTAGCTTTCAAACGTTCAGCATATATAAAACCTTCATCTCTTAATCGATCATGATCAACAGTAAGAATATAAGTTGTTGGTAATTTAGCTAATTCTTTATTATCAACTAATAATGGTGATAATTTTCGATCTAATAATTGTTCAGAATTTTGAATAAGTTCATTATTTCCATCGATTGCATCTGTTATAGGTTGTTTATATATTTGTCGGTATTTCGCTGGTATTAATGACCAATCCACATATTGACGATATTTTTTCTTTTGTTGAAGATTAGTATGATTATTAACTAGAATATCATCACTAATGGTTTTATTTAAATAAAGTTGAAATACTTGACCAGGTCGTCCAAAATGAAAAATATGTAATGCTGGTGTTAAATACGATGGAATCATAAAATCAAAAAATTGAACAACAGGATAGATTAATACTTGGAGACGAGGAATATTTTTACTAATTGATTTACTAACAAATTCTTGTGCAATTATAGCAGCAAAATTACCACCTAAAAATAATCGGAAAAATTCTTAGAACAAAAAAAGAACGAATTTACCAGCTGAATCTCCTGATATTGCAATACGTTTTGCATCAATATTGTATTTTTTTGCATTGTTGGAATCAAGAAGATATTTAGTTACTTTCATACAATCATCAATTCCAGCTGGAAACGGATGTTCCGGTGCAAGACGATATCTTTTTTAATAGAAAATAAGAAAATATTTTCATCTTTAGATAAATATCAAGTTTAATTTACTCGACAGAAATAACTATAAAACCAGTTTTAAGAGCTAATCTACGTGTAAGTGGATGATGTGTGTCTAAATAAATAAACAAAATTTTATTCGAAAACATTCTATTCTATCAAACATACCAACTGAACCCATATAAAATGCGCCACCATGATAATAAATAATAGCTGGTAGAAGTTTTGTCTTATCGTTATTTAAATTAGATGGAGAATAAATACGTGCAGGAACGTCTTCAATCAATATATCTTTAATCTATAATGATACATTTTATGTAAAACAAAAAAAGAGAAAATATTTTTATTTTTTCTACATACTTCAAGATTAGTATTAACTTCAGGTTTTCTTAATTTTTTTAAAACTAAACCACTATTACGTTGAATATACCATGCAGGTGCGAAACCAAGAGTTTCAGATACTAGTCCCTAAAAACAAAAAATACTCTCAAACTATTTCGATGTAAAATTTTTACATACAACAAAATTAATTATTTTCATTGAAGCACTAATTATACGAATACGATCCATCTGCGGAACACCTTCACTATTTGGTACATGATATAAATATGCAATTAAAGTTACGAAGCTACCAAGAATTATTGCTAAACGTGGAAGTTTACCAGCCATCTTCGAATGAAAACTAGAAAATAGTTTTAAAAAAAAGTATGATGTAATATAATCGTTGTTTGTCAAGTGAAATAAAAAGAATAGTGATGAATAAAGATAAATAGAATATATTTTATGTTTTGCGTTCTTTTTCGGTCATCATAATATAAAATTTTATTATATCTCTGTTGTTTCTACTTACTGAGTTTCAAAGTACAAAGGTAAAAAAGTGGTTACCTTGGAAACGAATGTCTAGGTACACAAATGAAAGCGCATAGAAAGAATTTATTTATAACCTTGTATATGTAAAATAAAAATGCATGAATTTAAAGAATATTTCTTATATTATTTTCATTAAATAAATGATATTAAGATATATATCAAAAAGAGACGATTCATTTTTTTGTGAAACTAACATACAATATTCTATACTTTTCTAAAAAGGAAAGCTTTTCTTAGAAAAGCCATATGACCCTGGAGTTATGACGTTAAACTACTTTTAAGAATTTGAATAATAAATGTAACAGTTTGCGCGGATGACAGCGGCACGCATGTATGTGCAAGCTACTTTTTTCTTTCCATATGTTGTTTGAATGATTCACTTCTTATATAAATATAACCGTCTGTTTCTTTTTTTTTCTTTTTGTTTTAGTAAAAATTCTTTATCAAAATGAAGAACAGTTTTTTAGAGAAAATACATGTAAAATATTATTATACGAATTTGATTTGATCTCGTATGAAAAAGTTCAAATTTTTCTTTTGTACTACTTGAAATTAACGATTATGCTAAAATTCTCAGTTGAATTGTTCTTGTTCAAAATCGTATTTAGTTGATATGCTTTAAGTAATATAAAATGCCTTGATATTCATATTTAATGCAAGAAAATAGGTCAAACAGGTGATATATATATATATGATATTTGAAAATAAGTCGAGCACAACAACCTGCATTTTTCTTCAGAAAAAGTATATTGTTTTGTTATTTTTACTAATGTAGTCCTATGTTTTTTACTTACTTTACAGGATAAGATGTTGGAGAAAGACTGCACTTTTCAGTTCTTTCATTGCATTAATCAGGCTTACAAGTTTCTACTAAAAAGATTTGAATTTAATTCAAAATTGATTCTCTATATAGAAAGAAGTGATTCTGTATTTTTACAAAGTGTCGCTACGAGATCGGTATAAACGATACTAATTAGAAGGAGAAAAAATCGGACTGATGTACAAATGATATTCATATGCATGTGTTAAATGAGACACGCGGAATAAATTAGAATGATAGTGATATAGATCGATACAAAACAAAAAAAAGAGAAAAGAAATCGTAACTATAAACGAAAATAATATTAAATTGAATGTTATTAGAATGTATATACAGCTATTCCCGATCGTCAATAATTACTATATCTCTTTGTACAAAAACAATCAGTGGTCACTGACTAATTGTATGTAATCGAATATGTTTTTATATTTTGTAAATATTTAGAAGTTTGATAATGATTTCATTCTAAAATAACCTTGTACTTATCAGACGCCTGTCTGTTTCAATGACTGTATGCATTGATTCTAATATGTTAGATTTATTTAATTTTAAATATTTTATTCTATTGAATTAAACCTAATCAGTATTTATTTATTTATTTATTTATTAAACAATATTTTGAAAATCTTTTCTGTATAGTTTAATAGCTTATAATATTATTATAAAATAGAATATGCACTTTTCGAACAAAAGAGTCATATCCTTTGTTTTCGTTATAATGTGCAGAAATTATCATTGCTGGACATGATCATCTATTAATTTTATCTCCATTTTATTTCTTTGTATTAATGCGAAATGCATAGATAAAATCTAGGGTAAATAATTATACGCTGTCTTTATCTACGCGAAAATAAAGAATGAGAGAGAGAGAGATAAAGATTAAAGCCGCGTTATGTATATGTATAATCATACTAGTATATGCATACAGTTTTACCCGTTTTTTCTCGGTATATATGTACGTACAGAGAGGAAGGTCAACTCTTGGTAGTATTCGACGCCAGCGAGCGTCTTCTTATCTCTTTCCTCTCGACACGTGTGTTTTTAATAGCATGATTCGTCCGTCTTGTTGGATATTCTTAATCGCTGGATATCGTGCAGTTGTTCATTTAGTCGATAGACGAATCAGTCTATATTCAAAATTTTATTTAAGAGGATAGATGTATATATATACTTTTCAAATAATTCTTTAATTTATTTTCAGTTTTAAAAATAGTAACTTCGTAATTTCGTTAAATGTCATACACTAAAAGTCGAGACCATCCAGATGGTATGTAAACAAAATTTTTTTAATTAACACGGGACAACATATTTGTTTTTTTATTAAATAGATGATTATGATCGAGATTATCAATCATCAAAACGTGGTAAGTTGTTTGTATTTTTCAAATAAAGAAAATTTTCTATAAAAACAAATGATTTAGCTCGTACAAGTCGTATAGATGAAATTTCATCTGATTATTCTCAACCTCGTTCACATTCCATAGCTGGAATAATAGATGAAAAACCAATTCGTAATGGAAATCCAGATATAGTTCCATATTATGTTGCACCCAAAGCTTCATCAGATGCTGGAAGTGATACAAAAAAACGTTCACGTTCATATGTTCGTCCAGTAATTCGTTCAGCTGTACCAAATTCTCAAATACAAACCATTGTTCAACGACCATCAAAAGCTGGAAATGGTAATTCATATCAATATTTTTTAAATTAAATTCGATTATTTTTTTGCTTTTAGTTGGTCAACGAACTGAACTTTATACAAATCATTTTTCAATAAATTTTTCCAAACGATCAAATGATGTTATCTTATATCAATTTGATGTTGATGTCGAAATATTAATGCGTGATGGTTCATGGCGTTCATGTAAAAAAGATGAACGTTTTCAAGTTCTTAAAAAAATAATTATGGAAGAAAATTTTCCACTTGTTTGGTATGATGAAGGAAAAAATTTATATTCAACGGAAAATTTAACATTAAATTATAAAAAAGAATATCAATGTGAATTAACTCATCCAAAAACAGGACGAACAAATAAATTTCGTTTTCTATTAATTAATCTTGTTAAAACTTATGAATTAAATAGTATATTTGATTTTACACAAAAAAAAATTCTTGTAAGACCACATGATCCTGTTCGAATACTTGAAACATTATTTAAACAAACACAAAGAGCAGAAATGATTACAATTAAAAATCAATCATATCTTAAAACACAACGATTAGATGATCTTGGTATAAGAAACTTTTAAATGAAATTTTTTTAAATCTAGATTGGGTTTTTTTTGTATTTGTTTAGGTGATGGACGTGGATTAGCATCAGGATTTTATCAAGCTATTGTACTTGGTGAACGTGGTCCAACATTAAATATTAATAATACATTTACTTGTTTTTATCAAAATTATAATTTAGTTGAATTTCTTTCTTGTTATTTACAACAAGATGTTCGAAAACATGGTGAGTTTGAATTATGCTAAAATAGAATTTTATTTTATTGCGTTTTCAAAAAATCAAGTGCAAATAAAATTCTAGGTAGTTAGCTGTTTAGTACAAAATATTATCTTTGTTATCCATACGAAGAGTTGTCCTAAATCATATAAATATTATTGGAAACATTCATAAATTTTATAACGAACATCTTTTTCCTTCTAGGTATTCCATCAAAAGATCAACCATTACTCGTTCGAAAAGTTTTAAAAGGCATCTGGTTTATAACAAGTCATACAAATAAAATTCGAAAATTTCGTTTAAAATCTTTTGGTCGACCAGCAAATGAACATAAATTTACTAAAAAAGAAGGTGATCAAATAACAGTTGCTGATTATTTTCGTGATAAATGGAATATAAATTTACGTCATCCAAATTTACCTGTTGTCGAATTATTTAATCCAGCTGATAAAAATCAATCAAATTTCTTACCAATGGAATTAGTTACTGTTGATGAATGGCAACGAAGTTTTAAACCATTAACAACTGATCAACGTGCTAAAGTAACAAAAAAAACTGTTGTTCGTCCTGGTGAACGTTATGGAATGATTCGACGTGTTGCTGATCAACGTGAATTTAATAAAGATTCATATTTAGAAAAATTTGGTATTACTGTTGATGTTAACGAAATGTTATTAGTACCAGCAAGAATTTTACCACCACCTGAAATTAAATATAAATCATCACGTGGTGAACAAAATGATGCTATTGAACGTGTACAAATTGGTAAATGGTATTTAAATAATCGATTACAAAAAGCACGTGAAATACGTACATGGGCTGTTGTTCTTGTTAGTCAACGTGAACCAGATAATCGACAAATACGTTTAGCAAGAGATTTTGCTCAAAGACTTCCACAGGTTAGAATCTTTTATTGTGTATATATAAATTATATTTATTTTTTAATTTAAGGCTATGTCAAAATATGGTCTACGACTTAGTTCACCACCAATTGAAAAATCTGATGCTGCTGTACCACAAACAATTTTAGCTCGTATGAATGAACTTAAAATGCAAGGATGTGAAGTTATTATTTATATACTTAATCAAGTTGGTGATGATATTTATCATGCTATTAAATTTTTTGGAAATGTTAAACTTGGTAAATATTTCATAGTCATATAGGAAAGTTATGAATATTGAATTTATCTTTAAGGTATGGTAACTCAATGTACAAAATTCGAAAAACTTATGTCAAATAGTGATCCTCGTAAAATGGATATGTATATTCAAGTAAATTGATTTTTATCATAATTTATTTCGAATAAATAATTCTTCTTTACTTAAAGAATTTGGTACAAAAATTCAATGCAAAATTAGGTGGTGTTAATCAACTTGTTACATTAATGCGCGCATTAACTTCACCATCAGCTCGATCTGATACATTTATGTTTTTTGGTATTGATTGTACACATGTACAATGTTCACGTGAACGACCATCGATTGCTGCTATTATTGGTTCAAAAGATTCAACAAGTACACAATATGCTGGTCGTGTTGTACAACAATTTTCAGCAAAAGGAAAAATAGCACTTGAAATTATTAAAGATCTTCATATTTATGTTGGCGAATTAATACGTGAATTTTCTCTCCATAATTCACGTTTACCAAATAAACTTGTTTTCTATCGAGCTGGTGTTGATGATGGTTCATTTCAAAAAGTACTTGATAATGAATTACGAGCTATTCAACGAGCATGTACAGGTATAGAAATATTATTTTAAAAATAAAAAAAATAATTCATTTATATTTTTAGAATTATATGGCCATAATCAATTACCTCAAATTTGTTTTGTTATTGTTAAAAAACGTCATAATACTCGTTTTTTTACTTGGGATAAACAGACTAATCAAACAAATAATATTCAACCAGGTTAGAAATTCATTTTAAACATTTGTTTTTTATTTTAATATTTTTTTTTTGTTGTATTTGTAGGAACAGTAATCGATACCGATATTGTTTCACCGAATGGTTTTGATTTTTATCTTAATTCTCATGCAGCTATACAAGGTACGTCACGACCAATGCTCTATCAAGTTTTATATGATGAAATTGGTTTTACATCTGATGATATTCAACAATTGACGTAAGAATTATTTTATTCGAAAAATAAAGTTTTTTTTATTTAAAACTTTCAATAGATATTATTTATGTCATACTGATGTTCGATGTACAAAAGCTGTATCTGTTCCAGCACCGATACATTATGCAACACTTTGTGTATCACGTGGCCTTAATCTTGATTATGAAGGTCAAATGGCTAATGAACAACGAAGTATTGCTGCGTAAGTTTAAATATTATATTTTGTAAACATATAAATATTTCGTTTCCTTTTTGTTCTAGTTCTGATTTAGAAGAAGCTATGTTAGATGAAAACGTTGTCGTTACTTTAGATGACGTTCAAACAATAAAAATGGATTTTAATCCACAAATTGAAAATACAATGTGGTTTGCATAAACTGTAGTAAACTTTTGTATATAGATACTTGTTTTCGTTTTTTTTCATATCAATTAGATATGAGCATACATTTTCTTGAGTTGATTTTTCTATTCGTTGCTGTTTTTCCTTTTTCTTAAGTCATATTTTTCTTTTTTTGTCTATTTCTTTTTTGTTTTGTTTGCATTTTTCTTTTTCTATGTGTATAACTATTGATATGATTATGATGAGAAAATTGATTGGCCCAATTTCATAGATTTGAAATTAATATTCCATAGTTTTATTTATTCTATCATAAGGGTGCAGCCCATCAAAGAATCTATCCAGACACCTACATAGTAGCATAACCAGTAGTGGGGCTAGTGCGTTTTTTGTTAAAATAAGGAACTTTTCTAGTGAAATTTAATCTATGCTATTTTAATGAAGTTCGTGTATATTAATAGTTTTCTTGGTTAAAACGACGATATTATTTTGATTCCAAGTTGTAACATCTTCTAATCGTTGATGATGTTCATATTTCTCGATTTTTAAAAGTTGTCCATCAGCTGAAATATGAAAGAATCGACAATCATCATGATCCATAACTAACCATTGATCACCGTTTATTGAACAACAACGACAACGACCATGAATATCTATTGTCCATATACAATCTAATGTTGTTAATAGACGTAGATCAAGACGACTTTGTTCTTTATGTTTATTAAAAATAGGTATACCAAGAAAACCATTATTATATTTAAGATCACAAATAATTTCATCTCTTTCACAAGTCATTGGTGAATGCCATGTTTTAACAAATTGAAATGTTGATCGAAGATCAAATTCATAAATAGATGAACCCCATTCCGCTGATGATAAATATAATGTATCATTCGAACATGTTCCACGCCACCAATCTATATTAGATGGTATAGGACATTCTTCGAGTATCATTGTGTTTTCTAAAGTAAATATTTTTTTAAAAGTAATAATAATAAATCGATTAATTGATGATGACCAAAAAATACTATGAATATCATTGTGATCAAATAAGATTTCATTGACAATCACAAAATTTCGATCGATTAAACATAAATATTTTCCTTCTCGTTCAACAAGAAGATATTTTTCATTACTACCAATCGAACTTTCATTACCAGATTTTAAATGAATAGTATGAGATGCATGTGGTAATGGAAAAAGTTGTTGTAAAGTAACAAGATTATCTTCAATAATTAATGGACGAATTGTTAATCGAAGATGTTCAAGTTCAGTTAATTTTACTTCTATTATTTGCATATCATGATTAATTTCATTCCATTCATTTTTAATTTCTGTAATTAATTGATTTCGAAGATCATCAAGTTCTTTATTTAAAATTATTTGTTTCTTTTCTATTATATCATAATATTTCTTTTCATAATAACGATCAATCGTATGATAAGATTCATTACGCCATTGTTGAAGATTATTAAGAAAATAGGGTTTAACTGATGTTATTCGATTAGAAAGTTTATCAATGGTTTCAGTTAAATGTCTCAAAGTTTGATTGCATCGATTTTCATGTTCATTTGAATGATCATGACAAAAATGTTGATCACAATGAGAACATATACTATTCGGTAAGTTTGAACATTGATCAACGGAACATGACTGTGATTCATTTGGTATTCGTTCATATTGTTTGAAATGAGTAGTGAATAGTGACATATTGAAATGTAATAATGTTTTCAATAATCTTCATATATATATATATATATGAAGGAGATAAATGTCTATGTTGAAATGAAACATAATATTTTCATTTGATAATGAAAATGTTAACAATTGACATTTCGAAATCTTTTCTTCTGATCTCGGTACAATTCTTCGTCAAGTACATATTCTTTAAAAAAGACGTAGAAGAGTTTTTTATTATAAGTTTATAATATACTGAGATCAACAAGTCAATATTGTTTTAACCGTATGTGTTTGATTCTTTCTTTGTTTCCTACACAAGATGAAGTGAATAAAAATGCTAATAGTATTTATGTTTATTAAACAGAAATACAATGTTAAAGGTTAAATTAAAAATCGTTTATATAAAAAAAATAAATTATCCACATTCATCACCACTAACATTCATATTTGGATGATTTCCAGGTGGTAATTCTCCACTAGGATTCTTCTTCTTATTTTTTGCACTAATTTTATCAAATAAAGGTTCAGCTCGTTCGAGTAATGCAGATACATCAGCATGTGCTCCACCCATTTTAACACCCATATGTGCACAACAAATATTATCAAAAGGCCAATCTTTTAATACATTACGCATCCAATCACGAAATAAATATGGAGCTTCAGCCGTTGGATGAAGTCCGTCCGTCCATCACAGTCCAATATTATGACCTCAATATTTATTCGTCATTCTTCTCACAAAGATAAGAAGAAAATTTAGACATATATATCAACGGACATGAATGAACAAAATAGCGACATAAATATGAATATTTCCAATAACAATTATTCAAATATATTCGATTTACCTAATGAAATATTATTTATTATTATCAAGAAATTGAATATTAGTGATGTGATTTATTCACTTGTCGATGTTAATGAACGATTTGGTCGCTTATTATTTGATCCTTTTTATATTCAAAATCTTAATATTACACTTAAGACTATGAAGCCATTTTGTCATCGTACATTTTCAATACATGAACAAGTTCTTTCAAATATTTGTGAAAACATCTTACCAAATATTCATGATCAAGTTAAACAACTTGCTATTGAAGAACATTCAATAGAACGTATTTTTATTTACAATTATTCTCAACTTTATTCTTTGTCACTTGTTAATTTTAAAGAAGAAATACTCTGTAAATATCTAACAGGTAGATTTTATTTTTAATATTTTCATTAATGAAATCAATTTGTATTTCAAGATTATTCAGTTCTTCGTAATCTTCTTATATATCAAATCACACATCTACATATTGATATTCAGACTGATAAAATACCAAAAATATTATCTAAAATTTCATCAAATATACTTATACTGATTTTATCCCTATGTCAACGATTAATCAAGTTGAATTTTTGTCAAGTATTTTCTTATCGAAATTCATTTATTCCGATTTGTAAATTACCAAAAACATGTTTTACATATTCAACTTTAATCGAATTAAAAATAAATGTTGCAACGTTTAATGATTGTCTTCGTCTTCTTGATGGACGTTTCGATTCCTTATCAAAATTAACTATCAATGTAAGAGAGATCAAATATGAACGAAAAGAAATAAACAACGAGGTAAATTTGAAATATTGTTCGCAAGTAAAAGATCAATTTAATTAAATGATTTTCTTTCTAGACAAAACTTCCTAAGTTGAAATACTTCTCATTAACTTCATTTGATATAATACAGAATTTTGATGACTATATTATTCCATTACTTCGTCGAATGATAAATCTTGAAGAATTAATATTATTTCTAACAGTAGTAAGAGTTGACTCAACTGTTATTGATGGTATTGAATTATATGATCAAGTACTTGTTCATATGTCACACCTAAATAAAAAAAATTTCAGTATAAATAATGGTGTTTTTTTTTGAAAATAATGAAATTGATGTACCATCAAATGAAGACATTCAAAATAGTTTCATTGGAAGAGAATATGGAGAAGTTGGTTCATATGTACATTTGGATCCAAGTACAATCACTGGTTTTAAACAATCAAAGGGTGTGGTGATGTCTCATGTGTATTCACTTCCATATCAATTCGAAAGTTTCCTTCATCTCAACAGTTCTTTTCAAGATGGCATGTTTGTTAATGTACGATGCTTAACAATGACTGATTCATATCCTTTTGAACGTGAATTCTTCAAAATTATTTCTGATAGTTTTCCTCTAGTAAAAAACTTGACGATATCCAATTTGAAACCACAAAAAAACAAGCAACATTCTTCGACATTAATTAGTTTTCCTCATCTTAATCTTCTGAATCTTGTTCACGCACATGATGATTATGCTCAACAATTTCTCGTCGATACGAACACTCATTTACCTTGTTTGTTGGACCTCTGCATCACATATGAATCACTCGAAATTGTAACAAACAACTTCACAAATGATGCAACACGACTTTATTGTTCTAAATTAAAAGGACTTCATATGGATAAGCCGTTTGTTCGACCAAAACATTTTGATGAATATTTTCGTTTATTATTGTACATATCGATATTTAATCAGGATTTTGTTTTTTGAATAAAAGAAAGTAATTAATAAAAGTAAAATATATTTGAATCAGCTAAATAAAATTACTAATGGACTATGATATAGTCACCTCTATTCATTTGAACTTGATCATGAATTGTACGATGATAAATGTGTTATGATAGATGGATGTTGTCCAACTGATCGAGAAACTCTATGGTACATTTATTGATGAAGTTATTAATATGCGATGTTTAATGAGAGGAACATCAAAGTCATCATGTCGACGTATTATCGATAAAATGGATTTAATAGGACAACCAGTTGATCCAAAATATTTCAATATTTTATCTGATATTCGAAGAAAAAAATAGAAAAATAAATCGAAATAGTTTGTTCAGATAATGAATTTTATGGTTATTTTTGTGATCGTGATAATACAGAAAAATTTCAATCATGTCAACGCAAAGTATTAGAAATGATTGCTCGAAAAACTAATAATGATGGAACATTTTATAATCAATATGTTGAACAAATGAAACAAGATTATATCAACGATAAATAATAAACTTTCTTAATATTCTTTTTCAAACTCTTAATCTTATAACCTGTATTTTTCTTCATTAGTAAATGGTGATTAGGTTTTAAATATAAATATTATTTACTTCAATGTCGATAAATAACAAGATTGCTCATATTTTTTTGTAAAACTACCAAATCGATCTCATTTTAACACATATGTACTAGAGGAAAATTAGGTCTTATTTGGTAATATTCTATAAAGAGCATATGAAAGAAGTTAATTGATTTATATTGAGTAACTGTATTTTAAGTTCATTTATATTCTTTGTCTTTCTCTATACAACTTAATCCTATGTCTTTCGTTTTGTTTACACCATTTTAAAATAATCATCGAAGATATATTCTCTTTCTCGTAGAGAAGAGTCCAGTAGACATAAATTGTTTGCTTGTTTGTGTGTCCGCAGGGTCAAAAAAACATTGAAATTTAATTTTTCCGATACTTCCGGAAAACTTTGACTGGGGGGTAATCGAGGGCGAGGAACTAGAATCTGAGGTTATTTTTAGTTAACAATCAATTAATAATTAGCTAATAATTAATATTATTAATTTTTGAAATATTTTCGGAAAAGTTGGACCAAAGGATAATCGAGTATGGAGAACTCGAATCTGAGATTGATTCATTAAAATTAACTAGTTAATAATTAGTTAATAATTGATATTATTAATTCTTGAAAAAAGTTTGACCGAATGGAAATCGAATGCCAAGAATTCGAATGTGAGATTAATTTTATTTAAAAATCAATTAATGATTAATTAATATTATTAATCTTAAAGATAGTTCCAAGAAAGTTTTACCAGAGGGTAATTCGAGAATCGATTTTCTAGAAAAGACATTTTTGGGGCATTTCGATGCGGAGACTTCGAATCTGCTGTTAATTTTATAAAATAATTTTATGGGTCACTTTTTTAGGGAGAGAACCAGTTTTTATAAAAAAACAATTTTCATAAGGGGTGACCGAAGGGAAGTGGGGTGGAAGAACACAAATCTGGTGTTCATTTTTCCAAACTGTATAAGCAAAAAGTTTAGTATTGTAGAATACGATTTCTACGAGAAAGAGCTGAGCGAGCCCGCAGACGAGCGTTACTTGTCGGTTTAGATCAAAATTTATTTACAATGAATTCTGATGAATTATCGTCCCTACAAAAACTAACAAAGTATGCAATAAACGATTGTATTGCAATGCAACGAATTATAATGAATATGAAACAAAATAAATTTAATTTTAAAATTAATAATTTATTATATAGACGGATATCATTTATTTCATTGCCCGATATAGAAGAAAGAAAGAAAGAAAGAAAAAGCGATGACGTCAAAGTGATCGAATAATCGATAACAAAGATTTGATTCTATTGTTAAATATAGATATATCATTTAATTCAATAGATGCCTGGACGAATATTTATCATATAAATTGTTGTTTTTTTCTAGATTTTATTCATTTGAACTTCTCGTCTAGTTGTAAAATGGCCTCATCGACACTTACTGACAAAGAATATGTAAACGGCGAACGTGGTCTTCTTATGCAACTGTTTACTGTAAGTTGATTATCAATAAAATTGAAACAATATTAAAATATAATACATCCGTTTTTTTTTGTTTAAATTTAGTTAGCATCCAGAACTGGTCGTCAAGAACGTACATTTGAGTTTTGCAAATTAATGGATTCAAAAGGACTTCAATTGGCTGTGAAACATGCACAAGAAGAAAAAAAAATACATTAGAGGAAAAAATAACTGATGAATTAATTAAACAAGAAAAATTATTATCATCAACGATTTCAATTACACCAACTGATCCATTGAGTCATGTATTTCAAAAGAAAGCTGTAACCAATTCTACAAATGAAACAACAACAGCTGGATCATATATGTTGAAACGACTTTATGGTAACACTGATCTTCTATCGTCAAATAAAACAACTACAACAACAGGTCAAGTATAATTTGAATTTTATAACTTTATTTTTAAATTTTAAATTAATTCTATTTTTATTTAGTCTGATATAAAGATGGAAATAACTGAAAATGACCATACGTGTGATAGTCGTAAGTTGAATCCAACTATTCAACTATTCATTCTACTATTCAACTTTACAACTTTACGACTATTAAATTTTATTAGTTGGAGCCTCCAACTTTACGACTATTAAATTTGGGTGTGAGGTGGGTGTGGGTGTGGGTGTGAGGTCTGCGTGTGTGTGGGTGGGTGCCCGGAAGGGTGCAGAGTGGAGCAGATAAATGTGGGTGCCGGGAAGGGTGCAGAGGGGAGCAGATGAATGTGGGTGCCTGGAAGAGGGCAGAGAGGAGCAGATAAATGTGGGTGTCTGGAAGGGTGTGGAGGATAAAGCAACTGAGTTTGAGTACATGGACGTACGTGCGACATAGCTGTATATTGAGAGGATACGCCTATTTACCTATTATATTTGAATAGTCGTAAAGTTGGAGGCTCCTACTTATAAAATTTAATAGTTGGAGGCTCGTACTAAAAACTTTAAAAGTTGAATAGTTAGAGCAGAAGTTTACTAGTCGTACCGAATTAACGATTTCTACACTACTCAAAAGAAGTTAGTTGATTTATATTGAGTAACTGTATTTTAATTTCATTTGTATTTTTTATCTTTCTTTATACAATTTAGTTCTATGTCTTCCAATCTATTTATACCGTTTTAAAATAATCATTGAAGATATATTTGATGTTTACTAGTTATCATCTATATATTTAATGTTCTACTTGTATTCAACATGAAAACGATTGACTAATCTATACCATTTATTGAACAACAACGACAATGACCATGAATATTTGTTGTCCATATACAATCTAATGTTGTTGATAGACGTAGATCAAGACGACTTTGTTCTTTATGTTTATTAAAAATAGGTATACCAAGAAAACCATTATTATATTTAAGATCACAAATAATCTCATCTCTTTCACAAGTCATTGGTGAATGCCATGTTTTAACAAATTGAAATGTTGATCGAAGATCAAACTCATAAATAGATGAACCCCATTCTGCGGATGATAAATATAATGTATCATTCGAACATGTTCCACGCCACCAATCTATATTAGATGGTATAGGACATTCTTCGAGTATCATTGTGTTTTCTAAAGTAAATATTTTTTTAAAAGTAATAATAATAAATCGATTAATTGATGATGACCAAAAAATACTATAAATATCATTATGATTAAATAATATTTCATTGACAACTTGTCAATGACAATAACAAAATTTCGATCAATTAAACATAAATATTTTCCTTCTCGTTCAACAAGAAGATATTTTTCATTACTACCAATCGAACTTTCATTACCAGATTTTAAATGAATAGTATGAGATGCATGAGGTTAATGATGTTTTCAATAATCTTCATATATATATATATATATGAAGGAGATAAATGCCTATGTTATAATGAAACATAATATTTTCATTCGATAATGAAAATGTTAACAATTGACATTTCGAAATATTTTCTTCGTACATTTTCTATAAAAAAACGTAGAAGAATTTTTTATTACAAGTTTATAATATACTGAAATCAACAAGTCAATATTGTTTTAACCGTATGTGTTTGATTCTTTCTTTGTTTCCTACACAAGATTAAGTGAATAAAAATATTGATAGTATTTGTGTTTATTAAATAGAAATACGATGTTAAAGGTTAAATTAAAAATCGTTTATATAAAAAAAATAAATTATCCACATTCATCACCACTAACATTCATATTTGGATGATTTCCAGGTGGTAATTCTCCACTAGGATTTTTCTTCTTATTTTTTGCACTAATTTTATCAAATAAATGTTCAGCTCGTTCGAGTAATGCAGATACATCAGCATGTGCTCCACCCATTTTAACACCCATATGTGCACAACAAATATTATCAAAAGGCCAATCTTTTAATACATTACGCATCCAATCACGAAATAAATATGGAGCGTCAGCTGTTGGATGAAGACCCGAACTTTTAATTGAAGGATGAAATGCCATTGCGCCATCTTTATAACCAAATACTTTAAGTAAAAAACCAGGTTTTTCAGCATACATTATTGTATCATCAACATGAAGAGTTCGTGATGCTGGATGGTAAACAAAAACACTTATAAAATGATTTGATGATTCAGGTTGTGGATTAATAAATTCCGCTCCTTAAATTAAAATAATTATTATTTTTATTTTGAAAAAGAAAAACAACCTGCTGGAATACGCATTTCTACTTCTGGTTCCCATTTTTTTCTTATATTACAATCATCAAGATCTCCTTTCCATGGAATATCAGTTAATCGACGTAAATGTCTTGGTGTTCCATAGTAAGCTGGTTTAGGATATAATTGATAAAATGCAGGAAATGCTAAAGTATGAAATGGATGTGTAGCAATAACAGCTTCTATTTTTTCTCCATTATTTGTTAATTGATCAATTTCTTGTCGAAGTCGATCATTCATTTCAACTGTATCAATAACAAGAAATTTTCCATTACGTAATTGTATTATTGACATTTGTGTTTCAATATCAATAAGTTTTAAAATTTTAAAACGACCACGAACATTCCAAAAACCAGGACCCATTGAATAAAGTTCATTTTTTTCAAGGTTTTGTGCAGCATTCGGCGTTTGAGCTGGAATAGCTGACGCCATAGTACGAAAAGGTTGAAAAATTGATCTGAAAAGAATACTTGATAAACCAAAGATCATTATTGTTTATCTGAAAATCTTGTTGACAAGCGTTTTCTCGCTGTCATCAAGTAAAAATAAAAAAAAATAATAATAATGTGTGCACGTTATTGAAGTTATATAAGCAGATAAATCATGACTTATCAGATTGTGGTGAAAGGAAGAAAGAAAAAAACACGGGCCAGATGTATGACAATGCATAAAGAAACGAATGATGAATATCAAAAGAAGAATAGAAAGAAAAATAGAAGTTTGAGTCAATATGACAATCTTTAACTGCATAAGGAATAGTTACGAAAGAGAATTTGTTATGTAGTTTTTATTCCATTCTGGAATACTATATTTAAAATCTATGTGTATAATCCTGTAGTAATATAACGAAAACGACGATATAATTTAAATTTGTGGAAATAAAGGTTTTACAGTCTTACGCATAAAAGCTTGGAGTGATGATTATGTTGTTAATCATTAATACCGAATGTTACGACTTGTCTCTGAGGTCAAGTGATAGAGCTACTTCACCTTCAGTATTTCTTCTCAACATGGTTCGAAATGATCGTACTATCTTTGTATTCATGATCTATTTTCTCTCCCTTGTTTCGTTCTCTCCTATATATGAAGGAATCATCACATCGAATCAGTGTGGGACCTAAAACTATTTTTCAAAAAGTTGATAGTTGACAAAATTGGCAAAAAGTTAAAACAGTTATAACTAGAGTTATAACTATCAACCGCAGTTATAACCTCCAACCGGAGTTATAACTATCAACCGCAGTTATAACCTTCAACCAGAGTTATAACTATCAACCGTAGTTATAACTAGCAACTTTTGTCAAATGGGAACCTCCTAAATCCTTTAATCATGTGAAAGATCGATCGGTAATGTTCTCCTGTCTTTCTTCTTTTTTCTTAATGTATATTTTTTTTTGAAACTATGCTTTTTTAAAAGCGACCAGCAAAACAATTGAACAATTCTTAAAATCCTTGGCGATATATAGTGATCATATAGATATATTATTCCTATAATAGAGAAGAAGAAACAAAAGCTATGTGCCTTTTCAGCACTGAAGATTAATTATTCATACTATTTCAGTTCAAAGTCAGTTCAAGATAGCCATAATTACGCGTCAGTGTGGGAGTTAAAATTATTTTTTAAAAAGTTAGTAGTTGACAAAATCGGTAAAAAGTTAAAACAGTTATAACTAGAGTTATAACTATCAACCATAGTTATAACTTTCAACCAGAGTTATAACTATCAACCGCAGTTATGACCTTCAACCTGAGTTATAACCATCAACTGTAGTTATAACTATCAACTGCATCAATTTTGTCTCTAAGTACTAGTAAGATTGACAAAACTGATGCGTTTGATGGTTATAACTGTGGTTGATAGTTATAACTCTGGTTAAAGTTATAAGTTATAACTTTCAACCAGAGTTATAACTATCAACCGTAGTTATAACTTACAACTACGGTTGATAGTTATAACTCAATTAACTTTTTGGCCAAAAAGTTGATCGGTTATAACCCAAAAAGTTATAACCCGAGTTATAACTACCCTAGTTTTAGGTCCCACACTGCATCGAATGCAAATGTATCTCAAAAAATCTATGTTTTCAGAATGATATTGTCGACATGTAAAACTTTTATTAATAACTTCAATGCCGTACTATTAGAAAAATGAGAAAATCTTAAAGAATATTTCTGATTGGATTTATGTGATAGATTACTTAATAATAATAAAAATATTTTAAATTTGTTTTCTTTATATTATTTTAATAAAACACGACTATAATTGATGTTCAAGTGTGTCTTGATTAAATGTCAAGTTGTTTACTACGAGATTTTCATATTTCGATATTGATTTCATATCAAATTCAGGAAAGAAAAAACCGATTTCACGTTGAGCTGTTGCAATTGAATCTATTTTATATATATATAACGTTTTATTAAAATCAAATATAATTTTATTTGTATACCTGATCCATGACCACAATTTCTTGTATCTGTTACACCATGTTGACCTCTGATAGTATCTTGTGCTTCAAATATTGTTCTAGAAAAACAAAATTACATTATAATATATTTTATTTGATTTTGATTAAGATTTCTTACTTAAATACTTTTGTTGGACCAAGTATTGAACGCCATTCTTGTATTGCATTTTCTCTTCCAAGAATATGACATGATATTGGTCCACTAAAGTTAAAAATAATAATTTAAATTTAATACGAAGAAATAAACATACCAGCTCATATAATGAACAAGTCGACTATAGAAAAATTTTTCTAAACACAATTGGTAAAGATTAAAAAAACAAATGCAGAATCATTCAAAACTAACGTTGGTGTTCTTGATAAAATTCACCAGCTCGTTCTCGACTTAACTGTAAACGTTTACTCTTAACGAAAATAAATTGACGTTGAAGAATCAACTGAATTATTTCCTATAGATGAGAGACAAAGAAGATATCATACAAAGCAAAATAAAAAAATTACCTCATTTTACACGTACATTAAATAAACGAGGTGATCGAACAACATCTGGTTTTAAAATACATAATGTTAATTGAAACATTAGAATTAATTAGATCTAAAAATAGAAGAAGAAGTAGTTACATTGATTAAAATCTCTCTTTTAAAACCATTTCAATTGTGTTTGTTCCATTAAAATACAATCTCTGATCTAGTAATAAGCTGCACACAGTCATTTTTTACTCTTTAAAACAGTATGCTTTGCGTACAGATCGTTGTTTTCGTGTAAAATAATACACAAAAGACAGGAAAATTTTATGGAATTTTGAAAACAAACTTAATCATGCTGAAGAATGTAGAAAATGTATCTATAACATTTTTTCATCCCAATTATTTAGTTTGATTATGTCTACATCTTGATTGGCTGTAATGACAACTAACGTATGAAGTTGAACTGCCAATGGATGTCGCTTATAATTGTCTACTTTGAAAAATCGTTGCTAAATAATATTTCTAATATTAATAAAGTAGAAAATTTTTTAGATTTATATGAAAATAAAATATAAACAATATATGCATATTGTACCCATTTACCCACACCCTTAAAAATATACAAAATCATTGTACAGAAAAAATAAGAAAAAAATTTATTTTAAATGCAATTCAATATGTTCACGTCCCGATGATTTAGAAAATGCATAGGGTACTACAAACGTTTTCTCACCTGACTCTTCTGAAAGTATCAGTCTGAGTTCTTAATACTTTGCTTTATTGTGATCTATTACTTATTTCATATCATACCAGAATAATAAACATTCTTTTTTTGTTTTCATCTATATGAAAATCTTTTCAACATTTGTTTTATTTGATTTTTATTATGAATTTTTCTTCTGCAAAATTTGACAAAAAACAATAAAAGATGAAGAATTTAACATTTATTTATTCTCGATTTTTTAATTAACAAAAACTTAATTTACAAAATTATTTCGAATTTTTGAATTCGAGCGTTTCCGCAATCAACAACATGAAGATTGCCCTCGTTATCAAAAGATAAACCAAATGGATTGTTCAATTGATTTGCCATAAATCCTTTTCCATTTCCACCAACAACAATTTCACCTTCTTCTTTTCCTTCACACCAACGAATTACGCGATGATTCCACATATCTGCCACATAAATTTGACCCAAATCATCAACAATTACTCCTCGAGGGTAAGACAATTGATTGAGATTTCCTCCTTTACCATTTCCACCAGCCGCAATTGTTCCTTCTTTTGCATCTTTTCCCCATTTCATTACACGATCATTATTTTGATCTGATACATAAACCGTTTGCTCTTCATCAACAAAGATACAACCTGGAGAATTGAGTTGATTTAGTTTATTTCCTTGTCCATATCCACCTGCCACTACAATTCCGTCATTGTTGTATTCACCCATTTTCCATCGTCTCACTTCATTCTTTTTATAATCAGAAATATAAAGAAATCCATGTTTATCCATTGCTAAGCCGAAACAGTCGATATTGTTAATAAGAATTTGTTGGTTTTGGTTCAACCATTGAATCACTCGTCTGTTTCCTTGATCAGCAATGATGATCGAATGATTTTGTTGATCAACAATCACATTAGTTGGATAATTCAATTGATTCATTCGACTTCCTTGTTTATTTCCACCGGCAATGATTTGTCCTTCCTTTTCATTACATTTCCATTCAACAATACGATGATTATTATAATCAGCAATGAAAATATTTTTGTATTCGTCAATAAAGATTCCATATGGGCATTTGAATTGATTTAATTTTTGTCCAAATTCATTTCCACCAGCTACAGTAATAGCATTTTGTTTCCATTTGTTGAATTTTGGTTCTAGAAAATGACGAAAAGATAAATTTTGAATAAGCGTTAATAAATATATTTGACAAAGAGGCAAATTTTATTTTTCTAATTTCTCAAAAACTTTAATATAAAATATCTAAAGTATTGAAACTTAGAAGAAAAAGTTTTTTAGTTAACTTTCATTTCATATCTGATTATTATTTTCTTTAACATAGGAATACATTTTATCAATTTAATTTTTTATCTACATTAATACCATTATTATTGATTTAATCAATAAATAAATCAATAATTTTCTCGATTTTTTTCTTTACTTCATCATTATTTTCCTTTTAGAAATTATTACTTAGAAGCTTACCTTTTGTAGAAATAATTGAAATATCATTAATAAATGGTTGTGAATCGTATTGAATAGAAGTCTTTGGTGGATTATTTATTTCTAATATCATTTTTTTTAATTGATTTCTAAAATGATTTAAATTAATCTCATTAAATTCATTTTCTTGACGAATTTGTTTTATTTGTTCAGATAAATCATTAAATTTCTTTTCAATATCATTTAAAAATATTTGTGATGATTTAATGACAATTTCTCTACAATCTCTTGCTTTTAGTTGAATTTTTTTAATTGAATTTATTTCCCATTCATTAATTTGATTTATTAAAGCAAGATCATCTGAATTTGGTTTTTGTTCATTAAATATTTGTTTAAATTGATCATAATCATTAATAATATGATGTAGTTCTTCATTTAATATTTGACGATGTTTTGTTAAATCCATTAAACAAAAGTTTTTTAAACATCCTTCACAAAGATATGTTATTTTATCTTGATTACATGTAAAACATTGTGTTTTATTGTTTACCATTGCCACATCTTTGAATATAAATTTATAGAAAAAATGAATATTTCCTTATCTACTTTTCTAGGTGTAAACTTATAATAACTCAATGGTAATAAAAACATTGTTCAGTAGTAAAAGAAATCTAATATTCTCTTTTACTCATTTTTTATATTATTTCAGAAGATTAACTTACCAAAACGAAAGTATTTCAAAGAATTGAATTTTTAAACTTGTGATATTTTGTAATTATTTCAATATGAATGAGAATTCTGCTTATATCACTTGTAAGTAAACAAATAAATTACTCTTTCGCTACGTTAACCAAATATATGGTCACATGGTGTTTTCTTTCAGTATTCTCCTCTTTTCTTTCATATATGATCGTATCGAATTTTTTCCTTTTCGTTATAATAATTCGCTTTTCTTCTGCTCTTTTAACTTATATCGAAATGTATTATTTTCAAGTTATGAACAAAAGTGTATAACATAAGTGTAAAAGAATAAAAGTTGATATTTTATATGTTTATTTTCAGCTATGTATTGGATTTGAAAAAAAATATGCGATAAAACATTTCAAGCGAAGAAAAATAATGACAAAAAAGCGTTTTGTTTTTGATGAAATGGATTCTTAGTGTTTTGTAACAAAACGACATTGAGATGTCTTTTTGTATTTATTATAATAGTCATGTCATTCAAACTGAACGGACTGATTAGGGAGGAGTACGCCTTCGAGTGCGAATGAACGATTGTTTAAACGCTTTCATATACAATTCTGAAGGAAAGACAAAGATAAGAAAAATTAGCATCGAAGGAGTAAACGAAATGAAATATGCTCCAAGATACAGCCACAAGTTGTCGGACGTTTTTGCACAACCAGGAAGTAATGAAATAATAAGACGAGGTATTGATAAAACGAGTAAAACTATCGGACTAATGATTAATTGTTTATGTTCACTGAATTGTTGTAGAACATGTTCTTTAAGACTTTGGTTAGTTCGTGCCATTGATCGTTGTCGAGCACCTCCAAAGATGATGAACAATGAAGAGAAAAGATTGACAATAAATGGACCAACAAGGTGAAAAAATAAAACGGCTGTATTGTAATCTTGAACAGACGAAGAATATCGAGTGATGCATGATACATATCGCTTGGTTGTGTCTTTATTAGTCTTACTAGTATCTGGTGCTGTTTCATATTCGAACAATCTGCGAAATGTGAGCTCGTGAATAAGTGTACCCAAAATGCAAAACGGTAAAATAAGAATTATTCGTCGAGCAATATATTTGCTCTTTGTTTTATCAAATTGTACTCCTTTAAAAATAAGTACTGCTCGTTCAACTGCTACACAAGCATTAAGCCAACCAATTTGCTTTTCTTCGTTTTTCTTAATATATAATAAACAAAATTTAAGAAAACGTTGTACATCTGCCATAATAATAATGAAAGTTACAGTACTGAATAATAGATGTGTATATAGAAAAAACCTTAACAAATAAGAAAAAGAATTAAATTTTGTATACTGAATGTCCTAACAGTTTTTTAGAATATTTTTACTATTTGACTTAAGTTTATCGACAATATTTTTTTTATATCAAACGTCCAGGTATCGAGTTTGTTGTGGATCCGAGAGACTTTCAAAACCATCTTTTAAATTTATCAAATATAATTGAAAGAGAAAAATGTTACATAACAATTTATTATAATTAGTTCGAGTTTTTGAATGATTTTTATCTTTGAAGTGTTCAATTTTGTAGCAATTGTTCTGTTGTTTGATCATTAACAGAAGCGATTTTAGCGATTGTGAAATATCAAACAGCAAGTTTTCGGCAATACACAAATTATTTTGAGTTGCAATCCGAGGAATGTATAATGATAATCATAATTTTTCTCTTTGAATTATATCTAATAAATTCTAAAGGATAATTTTAAAAGTTTCTCGATTCTTTTCACTTAAAAGATATTTATCGATAAACTTAAGTCAAATAGTAAAATATTTGAAAAAACTTTTAGGACATTCTGAAATTCATTTAATATTGAAATGATATACATATAAGGGTGGGTGTGGATGTCTCTAATCTTAACTCACATCCACACCCTTCTCTTTTCATTAAATTTTGAAAAAATTTCATTGAGAAAATAACAACAAAACGAAAATATTTTCATAGAAAACTTCACTGATTTGGGTTTTGTTTGATGAAAAACAAGGAAAATTGAATCTAAAATCGTTTTCCATTTAGAACAAAATCTTCATCAAAATATAAAATTGAAGAAAATTTTTAGTTTTCATAATTTGATTTTGAAAAAATCTTGTATTATTCATTTAAACTTAAAATAAAGAAAAGTTTTACTTTGAAAAAAATTGAATGAAATCTAATAAAGAAATTTTGAAATATTTATTTCAATTTTTCTATTTATTTTTCTTTCGAATCTCGTTTTTTTGTTTCCATCTAAATGAAAATGTTCATTGATTTCATTTTCACAAATCACTCTTTAATTTCAAATTTTATTTACATTTTTCAAAATCAAACAGAAACTAAAATTGGAAAATGATAAAATTTATTAATTTATTAAAAGAAAATCTTTTCAGCATTTGTTTTGTTCAATTGAATTCATTTCAATTCGATATTTATTATCAATTTTTTTTATAAAATATTTTCTTTTCTTCTCTTACGCAAAATTTAACAAGAAATGAAGAATTTTACATTTATTAATTCGAATTTTTAATCAAAATTATGAAATTAAATACAATTTTGGAAAAAAAATCAAAAAGAAATGTCGTCGCTGTTTTCTTATCAAAAAGTTTGTTTTTTTTCAAAATCAAAATTTTATTCACAGTATTATTTCAAACTTTTGAACTTGATGATTAAAATAATCAACAACATAAAGATTTCCTTCATCATCAAAAGATAAACCCGTAGGACGTTTCAATTGATTGGATTGATTTCTTCTTCCACTGAATGTATTAACTATTGTCGAAAGGAAAAAAGTCGAACGCTAAATGTAGAAAAGTAAAATGTAGAAAATAAAAATTTAGAAAGTCAAAAATGTCGAAAACTTCGAATATGTTTTAAGAGGATGTAAGTGTTTTCTTTTTCTTTTGTCTACACCCAAAGCCTAGTTCTACCTATTGTTTATTTCTGACAGCAGTGACAATGAGAAGACCTTGTTTCTATCGTTTTGAAATTTTTTGACATTTTTTCTTTTGAGTAAACTCAGACATACCCTTCTATTTTCACCAACAACAATTTCACCTTCTTCTTTTCCTTCACACCAACGCATTACTCGATCATTTCCACCATCTGCCACATATATTTGACCTAGGTCATCAACAATTACTTCTTTAGGTGAAGACAATTGATTAAGTTTTCTTCCTTCACCATTTCCTCCAGCCACAACTATGCCTTCTTTTGCACCTTTTCTCCATTTCATTACACGATGATTGAACCAATCTGTTACATAAACAGATTGTTCTTCATCAACAAAGATAAAAGTAGGATAATCAAGTTGATTTCCATATCCATTTGCACCTGCCACTATAATTCCTTCGTTGTGATATTCACCCATTTTCCATCGTCTCACTTCATTCTTCTCACAATCAGAAACATAAAGAAATCCATGCTTATCTATTGCTAAACCATAACAGTCAATATTGTCAATGAGAATTTGTTGATTTTGATTCATCCATTGAATCACACGTTTGTTCCCATAATCAGCAATGATGATGGAATGATTTTTTTGATCTACAACCACATCTGCTGGGCATCTCAACTGATTCATTCGATCTCCTTCCCCTTTTCCACCTGCAACGATTTGTCCTTCATATGCATTATATTCCCATTTAACAATACGATGATTATTAAAATCAGCAATAAAAATATTTTTGTTTTTATCAATAAAGATTCCAAGAGGACCACTGAGTTGATCTAATCGTCGTCCTTCTCCATTTGCACCAGCCACAGTGATGGCATCTTGTTTCCATTTGTTGAGTTTTGATTCTAGAAAAGAATGAAAACAAAAGATTTTCTTTTGAGAATTTTTTTAGATAAAATTGAAATTATTTATTTTTTCAATAAATGAATTTTTCTCATTTTGCTTTCTTACTACAACTATTATTGTAATTTTCTCGCTTCATTCTTCAATTCCTACCAATTAAAATAATTTTATTTGATTGATTTTCATCTAAAGTTTTCGATGAAAATGGACAAGAGAAAAAAGATTTATTTTCTGAATTGAAAGAAAATCTAAAATGAAATAAACTTACTTGAACTGATTTGATTTGTTGTTAATTGCATTTGATTGGTTGATGATACTAATGTTGATGTATGATTATTTTCCTGATCAATTTCAATTAAATGAACAACATATGATCCATTTGGATGGTCTAACGCATTACTTTTTACACGAAATTCTGTTCCCAATCTTAAAATAATTTCATCTTCACTTTCATATTCTGTATAAGCAGATACTTTTTTCCCATTTAATGCTTCAATTAAAAACATCGTAGAGTTTTTTTTATTTCCAAGAAATCCTTTGATAACATTAACTGATAATGAACATGAGCTAATACTCCACCATGTTATTAGTTGATTTTTAGTAAAATCTTTCCCAATATCTGCAGTAATACCTCTCCATACGACTTCTTTAACAGTTGGTAATTTATTTAATGCTGTATCAAATAATTTCAAATAAGGAAACCATACTTTTAATAACTGCCTATTTTCATTTCTTAAAGCTTGATTTAAAAGACGATATAAAGATTGTTCACCCCATTCCATTGTATAAATATAGATTGATGCTGATTCATCACGTGTTAAACCATGTTCTGATGGATAATGACAATGGTTTTTTGCTATTTGGATATAATATAGTAAATTAGCAATTTGAGATTGAATTGGTTCTAATGCTTTTTCAACTGTAACAAGTTTTTCACTACGAAAACCATAAACAGGGGTTAACTTTTTAAATGAACAATCAATATCACTAAAACGATTCATTTCACTGTTCTATTCTTTATATTTATCTAAAATAATCAATGAAAATATTAAAATTTGTTTTTTTTTCTCAAATGGATCGGATTCTATAGTTTATTTATATTTTTAGATAAGATAAGAGAAAGGAAAAACTTGGATGAATAATCTTCACAATTAAGAATATTCGACAGAATAAATAAAAATGATGAAGATGAATATGTGTAGGGATGATAGTGTTAAATCTGTATCACAGTGAATAAACTTTGTTTATTAAACTTACTGAATGAACTCTATATCAAAATCCACGATGCTTATGTACAGAGCTAGTTAGAAAATTCAAAGATATTAAATTAAAAATAGAATTCACTAACTTTGACAGAACGAAAGAAAAGAAAAAAAAGAAAGAACGAACAAACATATATGGATAAAACCCTTATGACATAACCTAGATACATAGCAGATATTTAATTTGAATAGTAAAATATAAATGATCTTTATATTCTTATTACATTTTTTATATGAAGTATAATTAAAATTAAAATCATATACTTAGTTTTACATTCTATAAAATATTCCAATATGTTACTATATATGTGATTGTTCGTGCAATGCGTGTCTATCTATTCATCTTCTCTATACGTTTCTCTTGTTCTCTTTTCTTTTGTTTAGTTAAAATAAACTATTATTTTATCTTACATTTATCTTTTTAATTATACATCGTTGTCGTTTCTTTTCGTTCTTTTGTAAAACAAGAATTATCCTCTTCTTCAAAATATTCACTCTTTAAATACTTAACCATACCGGTAGAACGTGAGAAAATGTAGAAGAAGTAGCATTCTTTATGGCAAGATATATATCATGCCATAATATATATCAAGACGTGACACAAACATAAATCGAAATATTTATTGAGGGTGTGGGTATGAGTGTGCTCTCTTTTTTTTGAAGCCCAATGTCTGACGGTTCTAATGGTATATGAAACGTAACTATATCTTGAAATGCAAAAACTCTACAGCATACCACGTTTTGATGTTTTTCTTACTACTGAATCCCTTCATTTTGCAAGCATATTTTCATTATGGATTATACAATAACACTAAAAAATTATTTTTTTTTGAAATTGTTTTCAAAATAATGAGTCATTCAGCACCTTGGAAAAAAGACCGAAATTTTTTCACGAAAAACCTTTCGAAAAAATAAAAAAAACTAACATATTCTTACTCAGCTCGACGATCCCTATCCAACCATGTATGCAAAACCGAAAAACAAATTTTGATTTAATTTTGCATTGTTTGCACCTTATAATAATCAACTTAAATCAAAAGATTTTATGTAATGTTTTTTCTCGGAAAATAAAAATCTAAAAATATTTTTTATTAAATTAAGCTTTTCAGTTAATTAGAATTAGTTTTGAAAAAATAAAAATAGAAAATAAAATCTAAATTACATTTCAATCTATTTTTTTACATTTATCATTTGTTGAATGATTTTCTAAATGAAATATTTTATAATTATTATCAAACTGAAACAGAAAAGCATACAAGGACAAAATAAACTTATATGTCATAGTTATAAATAAAGATAATTTGATTTTCATATGATAAAATTTATTAATTTATTAAAAAAACTCTTTCCAACTATTGTTTTGTTCAACTAAATTCAATTGCAATTCGGTTTTTATTATCAAGTTTTCCTAAAATATTTTTGTTCTTTTCAGCTTTGAATAATTCTCAAATTTTGTCAAATAGAAGAAACAAAAATATTTGATTCAATTCAAGTTACAAAATATTTTCTTTTCTTATCTTGCGCAAAATTCAACAAAATATGAAGAATCCACCGTTTATTTGTTGAAAGTTTTTAATCAAAATTATCAAATTAAATTCAATTTTCAAGAAAAAAACTAAAAAGACTTTTCTTTATTCTTTTATTCAATAAAAACTTCTTTTCGTTTTTTCAAAATCAAAATTTCACTCACAAAATTATTTCAAATTTCTCAACTCGATGATTCCGATAATCAGCCGCATAAAGATTTCCTTCATCATCGAAAGATAAACCTGTGGGATAACTCAATTGATTTGATTGATTTCCTATACCATTTCCGCCAACAACAATTTCACCTTCCTTATCTCCTTCACACCAGCGCATTACTCGATGATTCCTCCAATCTACCACATAGATTTGACCCAAATCATCAACAATTACACCTCGAGGTTTAGACAATTGATTGAGATTTCCTCCTTGACCATTTCCTCCAGCTACAACTATTCCTTTTGTCGCATATTTTTTCCATTTCATCACGCGATGATTCTCTCTATCTGATACATAAACAGATTGATGTTCATCAACAAAGATAAAACCAGGAGAAATGAATTGATTGAGTTGATTTCCTTCACCATTTCCTCCTGCCACTATAACTCCTTCGTTGTTGTATTCTCCTATTTTCCATCGTCTCACTTCATTCTTCTCATCAGAAACATAAAGAAATCCATAATTATCCATTGCCAAGCCCCAACAGTGAATATTGTGAATGAGAATTTGTTGATTTTGGTTGATCCATTGAATCACTCGTTTGTTTCCATAATCAGCAATGATGGTCGAATGATTTTGTTGATCAACAATCACATCTGTTGGACTGCTCAATTGATCTATTCGATCTCCTTCTTCATTTCCACCTGCAATGATTTGTCCTTTTTTTGCACTATACTTCCATTCTACAATACGATGATTCCAACGATCAGCAATGAAAATATTTTTGTCTTTATCAATGAAGAATCCACAAGGGTGATCGAGTTGGTTTAATTTCTGTCCTCCTTCAATTTCACCAGCCACAGTAATGGCATTTTCTTTCCATTTGTTGATTTTTGATACTAGAAAATGATCAAAAAACAAGATTTTGATGAAAAGAAGAAGAAGAAAGTTTGTTTTTCCTCGAAGAAAAAAAAGGAAAAGATTAGTTTTTAATGAAACTTTGATTCTGTTTTTGTCAAATTTGAATTTTGAATGAAATATTCATAAATATGTTTAATGAAAAGACAAGTTTTTTTATTCTTTTGGGTAAAATTTCTTAAAATGTAATGAAGAAATATTTTGTTTCAAAAAGAAAAAAGTATTTGAAAGTTGTATTTTTTAGAATGAAAATTTTAAAGAAAATGTATTTCTATTGAAAGATAGTTTATGTTTGAAACAAATTGGCAAATATCTAATTTGAAAAGGAAAGTAAGGAAAGTAAAAATGATAAAAAGATTTGTTGATTTGTTTTCTGGTAAATAAAAATTTGAAAAAAAGAAATACTTTAGAATATTTGCGAATAAAAGAAGTGGTTTGAATTGAAAAATTTGTGTAAAATAAAGAAAATTAGTAAAGATTTAAAATATTTCAATTAGAAATAAATTTTATCTTTTAGAGTATGGATGCGTAAGTGAGCTACGAATTTGGAATTTACGTGAAGCTTTTTTTTTGTTACTCAAGAAATATGTCAATTCTTATTTTTTCTTTTATTAGAAAACTTTACCATTTATTGTTGTTTCGGCCTTTTTAATGAAAATAACCCATATTGTGATACTGATGATAGTTAACAGGCTAAGAACGACAATGATAATTAAAATCAATATTGCTTTCCGATGAGATAAAGATCTAAAATTAAAGATATATTTCGAATAAATGAATCAAATACTTACGATCCTGTTTGTGGACGAGTCGATTGTCTAATATTATTTGCATTCTCTGATTCAGACTAAATATTAGAAAAAAAATTATTCATTTAGAATTCTTTAAAAAGTGTTGATTATTCTCCTAACTAAACATTGAATTTGTTCAATTTAGTAATCTTTTCTCGAATAATTATAAAAAAATATTCCTTAATGTATTTCATCTATTTCTTTGAATTTATTTTATATCAAACAAAGACGGTATGAGTAAGGGTATGAGATACATCCCGCGCCCACACTTATTCACACTCGCACCCTAAAATAGTTATTTCATTTTGTAACTTTTTGTAGCACAATCCTGCATATGAAAAATCTACTTTTCTGGTTAAAACTCAGATAGAACAGAAAGAGAGGTACTAGCTTAGCATTAGTATTAATTTAACATTAGAATAATGCAGTGCGAATACTAAGCCAGCACCCCTAAACACAACACCACTTACTTTGCATTCTAGTGATGCATCATATGCAGTCACGCGTTTTGCAGCCAACTCTATATCTTCTTCTTCTTCGTCTTTGTCAATAAGAGGTCTTTTATATTCCATGATTTGGTAGTTAGGTTTAGGTAACTTCCCAAGCGTTGGCTGTGATGATACTGTAGTTGTTACTTTTTTTCTTGAAGATGTTGATTTTGGTTCTAAGAAGGCAAAATCAATCAAGAAGAGATATTAGAAATGCAGTACTGATGAAAAAATTGTTAGTTTATTCCTCCAAAAAATTGAAAATTGTATTACAGAAGTCGTGTGATGAAATTGTTCTCATCTGAATTTGTGAAAAGAAAATATTCTGAAGTTATCACTATAGGATCCGTTTGACTAAGGAATTCTTTCGACCTTAGTTACAAATATGAATACGCTTTTAAAATGCTTCATTTTGCACACTCAAAATTAAGAGTACCACTAATTATAATCGTCAGTGCACTTAGAATTGGGGAGTCATTTAGGGCATAACACTGCTTGCGCAAAGAAAATAAGTTTTAGATAAGTAAGTTTTTAATTGGAAAATATGTTTTCTTTTAAAACTGAATGTGAGTATGGCTGTTGGAAAAATACGCGTAATCGCATCTACCCACACTCACCTTCAAACACAAACGTTTATTATCTGAATTGCCGGACTTCTAGAGGATAATGATACTTGATTGCGCTTTGGACTGATTTATCTACCTATGAATGGAACCTTGATTTTGCAAAGAGCTCAAAATCTATAGAATATTTTATCAATAACTTCTTCGTAAGATAATTGTCAGTCATAATCTAAATAAAATCGAATAATAAAATTTATATGATCCTCTCAAACACGATTCAAATCTTCAATATTCTAAAACTTCTTCTCTGACTCTTACAAAATAATTTCCATACCTGTGATTGTGTATTAGTATGTCGTCTTTGTTTTGAAAATAAATGAGAGACTAAACAGTAATCATCCTATTATATACAGTCCTTTCTTATCTTCTTATTCTAATTTCGAAATTGGTATATCTAGGTTTTTTCCCACTTTATGGTAGGTATCTATTACATTTTATTTATAACAAAGAAGAAGAAAAAGACCTTTAAAAAATAGTTACGATGGATTGGAAAAAAGCAATTTAAAAAATTATCTTTTAACATGTAATACGATACTGACCATGAAATGAGAAAAAACAAAACACAGTTTACATTTGAAAATCACAAAAACTCAACAATAATTCATCGGAATCTATCCTTATCCAAGATAAGTTGAACATACATATAACACTTGTTACATGATGCGTAATCGGTTTCAACAAGTGTGGCATATTCTCAGATCGAAGATTATGAACTCTGCAAACGGTCGTTTATACCTGTGTGTATTTTCTACTACTTCGGTTGATTTATTCTTCATAAATGTACTGTCAGAATGAGCTGTCCCTCTCCTTCATTTATGAAACGATAAAGGTCATATTAATTCCGATTTCATCTCTTCTTCACGTCTTGTTTATATAATACTGTGTTCTATATGATATATTAAATCAATAAAGATCATTACCTAGATTATAATAGTAGAATCAATCAGATCTTTATTTTGTAATCGATATTAATGATGAATACTATGTAATAATTATGGTTAGAAAAGAAAATGTATTAATGTTAAGTTATTACTGAAGGTTTTTTTTCTTTCGTTTCTATATTGTATTAATGATGTGCTCAGTATTGCATGACTGACGTATAATATTATTGAGACAGTAAAGAATATTATATTTCTTTATGATCGTTTCAGATACTGTTCTTTGGATGAAAGTATTATTGATGAAATGTTTCAATATCATTTTTTCACAAAAAGAAAATTGTTTATTATGTTTATAGTATTGTTAATTGTCTTATTAATTATTATAAATTATAATAAATTATTTTGTGTTACATATGAAGAAGAAACAAACAAATATTCATCATTAGTTTATATGTCTGAAGAAGAACGTAATATAATTCGTTTATATTTAAATAAATCTCATACAATGCTCGAATATGGAAGTGGTTATTCAACACTTTATTTTTCTCAATTTGTTAATGCTTATTATTCAATCGAACATAATGAACAATGGTATAAAACAATAAAAAATCTAATTGATCATTCACCAATTGTATCTTCAATTATTAAAAAATATATTCTAATACCTATTAAACCTGGTTATAAAGGTTGGTTAGATGGAGTTTCAGACGGTAATAAAATACAATTTCATGATTATATAAATGCAGTACATTCATTCAATGTTAATAAATTTGATAGAGTTTTAATTGATGGACGTGCTCGTGTTGATTGTGCATTTGAAACTTATTCTTATCTTGATAAAAATTCAATAATATTCGTTCATGATTATACAAATCGAGATTATTATTCTAATATATCAAAAAAATATTATAAAATTATTTTTCAAACTTATGAAGGTCAAACTCTTGCTGCATTTAAACTACGTTAATTATTTTATTGATAAAACAAATATAAGGTTTACGAAAAATAATAATAAATCGTAATCATACATGTAGATCATAAAATTTTTTATTTAGTTTATCTTCATTATCAAGTAAAACATGAAGATAACTTTCATTTTTTTTATAAAATTTTAAAATTCCTTTCTAATATTCATTTTGAACAATCGTTTTTATTTCATCTTTTGTTGAACTAGAACCATCATGAAAAACAAGAAAAATAAGTTTATTACATGTTGAATTTAATTTTTCTTTAACATTACCAAAAGCAGCAGCAATTGAAAATAATGGAGAAATTGTTGAAAATTCACGATGTATATCGCAAATATCTTTAGGTTGTGTATAAAGTCGAGAAATCTCAACACCTGTTATATCAATTTTCATTTCAAACCAAATTTTTATTGGTACTATACGTTGTAAATATTTTTTACATACATCTTTATCATGTTCTTTAAAGTATGCTTCATCAGCTTCAAGCATTTCAATAAATCTAATTTTAAGAAAAATATTACTTTTTTCAATATATCAAATAATTTATTTCGATTTATAATCGTTCTAATTTTTTGAGGGTGTGGGTATTGCTGCTCTGTCTTTATCTATACCCACACCCACAACATTTCTAAACAGCAAATAGGTCTATAAACTATTTAAAAATTTGAAAGAAAGTATTTCGATGGACTATATTTATCTGCAACCTATACATGTAATGTGACTTATAGTATTTGAAATTCAATTTAATAACTAGGCATAGTATCGTGTTATATATTTTTAAAAGATTTGTAACTAGCAGGTAAATGTGGGTGTGGGTAAGTTTTAGTTAGAAATAAATCTGAGCTTATAGTTACACTCGCACCTATCTTCCCAGAAACTATCGAGTACAGTGTTTTATCTAGGTGTCGTTTTTCTGATGGATGAATCGAAATTTAGGGTGAGCGGCGCCCACTCGATCCAGCCGTTGGATAAAACGCTGATTAAATACATTAATATCAGCTACAAAACAGATTTTGTACAAGAAACATTGTATTTTCTTATTCAAGTGACGATTTTCAATGTTTTTCTTTCATATCCTTCCGCCATAGTTTGAATATCATGAATACTTATTCTATTTACAGCAGATCGTAACTGACATCTGGTAAAATTTTGTTCATAAATCAGCTTTAAAAACGGAAGCGAATTTATTTTTCTTATTTACCAATAATTTTTAATGTTGTTTTGTTGCAGATGTTTCAACAAAAATACTTCATGTTGATATTATACTGTAGGAGAAAAAAAACTTGTTGTTAATTTCAGCGACATACTGAAGAGCTTTTCTGTCACTTTAACAATTTTCTAGTCAGTTACTTAAGAATAGCACTGCAAAACAATTTATTTTTGTTCAGTTTGATTTGGGTCAGTGTTAATAAAATATAATAATATGTGAATAATGGAAAAAAAGAAAGATTTCTCAGTTTCCATGGGCGGAAATAAATTTCAACGCTTTTTTCCAAATGTTTTAGTTTTACTCAAATATTCTTTTCTCCTCATATTTGAAGATATATTTTATTTTATTATCATCATCTGTTTTTATTAGATATTTTAGATTATTGATTTTTATAAGTGGTACAAAACATTCATCATGAGTCGAAATCAAATAGGACTTTGCGATGTAATATTTTTTTTAAAAAAAGTTTGATTTGAATGAATTATTTTAGTCTGAACCAGTTGCGTCGAATTCTCAACAAACCTTAACTGATCGATCAATATTGTTGTATGTTTTTTGTAATTGTTGAAATCCATAATCAAAAAAATTCTGTATTATAGAAGGAAATGTTTTGAAAAAAAGAAATTGTTGATTATTATTATTAGTGTTATCATTGTTGTTTTGGTCGTAACTATTCCAACCGTGATTATCAAAACAAAAACAACTAACACAATAAAACTATCAACTGAGCCACGAGACACAGCAACTGAAGAATTTACAACAACAACAACGGACAACCCATCGACAGAAGGTATAATATTGACAAAATAAATAAAAGGCGATAATCTTTTCTTTTTTGGTAAAATATTAAAAAGATTTTCATAATATCTTAATATGGAATTTATTTTTGAATGTTTTATTAGAATATTTATACAAATTAGAATTCTATCGTTTGATTTTTGATTGAGATAAAGTCTTAAATATATTTCATAAAAAGAAATATCGATAGTTTTCATGAAATTTATAGTTGAATTCCTAAAGAAAAAACTATTTCAACAAGATACAAAGTAGATAAAAGTGAGTGGATCTTGCAAATTTAGGCAAACGGTAAGTGTAATATTTCTTTGTCAAGATTTTTACTTAATAATGCTTATCAATGTGATTTTTCTATTGCTGGCGCGTACAATATGATGAATTTTTCTAGAAAATACCATTTTCCATCCAGAAACGTCATTGAGAGCGAGGATTTGAAAGATCTGTTAAATTGACCATTGATTTCTGATTTGATTTTTGATATCATATCTTGACTAAGATCTTATAAAGCTGTATCAGATCTTGATACAAGACAATAATATTATCTTGGATCTAAAGTTTTAAAATTTATTTACTTCCGTGTACCTTGGTCAGAATCTTGCTTGCAAAAGGTTTCCCTAGAGAATCTTTACTCTTGATCACTCATCTATGAATACGCATAATCAGTTTAAAGAACAAATTCTCATTCGCTTTTTCAAAAGAAAACTGAAAAGATATTTTTATTTAGTTTTCTTTTATTATTTAATATCAAAGATTAAAGTTTAATCATCTTTTATCTTCAATTAATTACAAAGATCTTTGATCAAATCATTTATTCTCAAATTCAATAAATCTTTCAAAACATTTACATTGTTCTCTTCTCGAACTTTACAAAAAATTAAATCAAATTTCTTTATCAAAATTCTATTCTTTTTGTTCTAACATTTCTATTATTAAATCGATATTGTTAGATTTCAATTTAATGTGAAATCTTTTTTCCTCACTTTTAGTACAAACCAAACCAAAATATAAGAAATGGAAACAACATGGAATTACTATTGCTGGTGGAAATGGACAAGGAAATCAATCAAATCAACTCTCTTCACCTCATGGGATCTATATCGATGATAACACAAGCATTTTGATTGCTGATAGGGACAATAAGCGTATTGTTGAATGGAAATCTAACTCGATCATTGGCCAAATCATTAAAGTTGGCAGCGCAGGAGATGGACTGGATCCATTATATATGCCATTCGAAGTAACTGTTGACAAACAAAAGAATGCGATTATCATATGTGATGTTGGGATCAAGCGAGTAATACGATGGTTTCGTGAAAATCAAACAAATTCAGAAAATCTGGCTGCTGGCATTTTATGTGGCGGTGTAACAATAGACCAAAATGGGTCGATTTATAGTTCTGTTTGGAATAATCATATGGTGGTACGGTGGAAAGGAGGAGATAAAGATGCAATAGTAGTTGCAGGTGGATTTGGTCAAGGTGATGATTTGAATCAACTCGAGAAACCTAGTTTCGTCTTTGTCGATAAAGATCATTCTATTTATGTATCGGATACTGGCAATCAGCGTATAATGAAATGGAAAAAAGGTGCAAAACAAGGTATTGTTGTTGCTGGCGGAAATGGATATGGGAATAATTTCAATCAATTATTTGAGCCTTATGGAGTGGTTGTTGATAATTTGGGTCAAATCTTTATTGCAGACTGTAGTAACCATAGAATTATGCGTTGGCGTGAAGGAGATACAGAAGGTTCAGTTGTTGTTGGTGGAAATGGTCAAGGAGATGATCCAAATCAATTATATCGTCCCACAGATCTATCATTTGATATTGAGGGACATCTTTATGTTGCTGATACTGATAATCATCGAATTCAAAAATATGAATTATATATTGAATAAAATAGAAAATTGTTTTATTTTTGAAATAAATCATCGAATAAAAGATAAAATCATTTTATAGTTTACGAATTATTAATCACAAACAAAAGCTGGAATAGTTTGCTGAGAAGTTCTTTTTATGAATAATTTATTGTTTATGAATTCACACTCAAATAAAACTTGAGCAGAATATTTTGATGATAAGATTAACCTAAACAAAATAGAAGAAATTTACTTCCCTTAACTACAATACTTACTTTTCTTTATCGTCAAAATTAATCTTAACGCAAAGATAACAAATCATTTTTATGAATTAATATTTTTCATTGGATATAATAAATAATCAAATAAATAAAAGATGAAAACTAGTATTTATTTAATTATATAAATTATACTATATATAAGTAAACAATTAGAGCTTTCGGGATTGGGTGTGAGTATAGTTAACTCATGCATTCCACACCCTCAAGATTTTTATTATTGATTATAATATTTCAAATTATTTATTTGATCTTCAATTATTCTAATGAGACGTTTTTTCGTAAAAAAAATTATTTTGAAATCTCATTATCGACTATAAAAGGTATTAAAGACACCTTAGAATTATTTTTTTTGTTTTTATCTGAATAAAAATATTCATTATTTTATTTTCAAATTTCAAGTACACTTTGTTTCCATTGATTTCATTTTGTTAAATTATTTCCCATTTCAATATTTTTTCTTTAAATTATATCAAATTGAAAAATCAAAAACATTTGATTGATTTTCATCAAATAAAAATATTCAAATAGAATTTTAATTTTAATTCAATCCAAATTAGAAAATATTCTCTTTTCTTCTCTTCTGTTGAATTCAACAAAAATTTACAAAAGATGAAGAATTCAACATTTATTTATTCAATTTTTTCATTGACTCTCAATAATAAACTTTATTTTTTCTTTTATTTCTCCATTGTTTATTCAATAAAAACTATATTTTCATTTTTTGAAAATCAAAATTTCACTCACAAAATTATTTCAAATTTTTCAATTCGACAGTTGGTACTATCAGCAACATAAAGATTTCCTTCATCATCGAAAGATAAGCCTATGGGACGATTCAATTGATTTGATTGTTTTCCTTCACCATTTCCACCAACAACAATTTCACCTTCTTCTTTTCCTTCACACCAACGCATTACTCGATTATTCCAACAATCTGCCACATAGATTTGACCGAAATGGTCAACAACTACTCCTTGAGGATAAGACAATTGATTGAGATTTCTTCCTTCACCATTGCCTCCAGCTACGATTCTTCCTTCTTTTGCATCCTTTATCCATTTTATGACACGATGGTTGTCTCGATCTGAAACATAAACAGATTCATGTTCATCAACAAAGATAAAACTAGGCCAATTAAGTTGATTGAGTTGATCTCCTTCACCATTTCCACCTGCTACTACAACTCCTTGATTGTTGTATTCACCCATTTTCCATCGTTTTACTTCATTCTTCTTCCAATCAGAAACGTTAAGAAATCCATGTTTATCCATTACCAAGCCGAAGCAGTCAATATGCTCAATTAGAATTTGTTGATTTCGATTCAACCAATGAACTATTCGTCTATTTCCATAATCAGCAATTATTATCGAATGATTTTGTTCATCAACAATCATATCTGTTGGATGTTTCAATTGATCCATTCGAGTTCCTTCCCCATTTCCACCTGCAATGATTTGTCCTTCCTTTGCATTATATTTCCATTCAACAATACAATGATTATAACATTCAGCAATGAAAATATTTTTGTTTTTATCAATGCAGATTCCGTCAAAAGAATTGCGTTGATTTAATTTCTGTCCTTTTTCATTTCTACCAGCCACAGTGATAGCATTTTGTTTCCATTTGTTGAATTTTGATTCTAGAAAATGATGAGAAGAAGAAGAAGAAAAGATTAATTTCCGATGAAACTGATTTTATTTCTGTCAATCAGATATTTTTCGAATCCTTGAAAAAAAATGTTAGTTTTTAATTAAATATTATTTCCTATCCTGTTATTCTTTTTCTTTTATATACAAATAAGTTTAATTTGTATTTCTATTAATTCCACCACTGTGGGTTAAATAAATCAATAAGTCTCTCAATTATTTTATCTTCTCCATTATTACTTTTCTTTGTTTTTATAGTTTTTCAACGTAGTTTTATAGGAAGTGAAAATTATTTTTTAAAAACTTGCTTTTTGATGAAATAATTAAAATTTCATTAATAAATGGTTGTGAATCTTCTTTAATAGAAATCTTTGTCGGATTATTTAATTCTTGTGTGATTTCAATTAATTGATTTCTTAAATATTTTAAATTAATTTCATTAAATTCATTTTCTTGTTGAACTTGTTTTATTTGTTCAGATAAATTATTAAATTTATTTTTAATATCATTAATACTTGTCTGCGAATATGCAAGGACAATTTTTCTACATTCTTGTGCTTTTTGTTGAATTATTCCAATTGAATTTCTTTCCCATTGATGAATTTGTTTTATTAATAAATCATTTTGTGGATTTTGTGTATTTTGTTTTTGTTCATTAATTGTTTGTTTAAATTCATTAAATTCATTGGTAATAAGATTTAATTCATCATTTAGTATTTGTTGATGTTCTGTTAAATGATTTAAACAAAATTCTTTTGAACATCCTTTACAAGGATATGTTATTTTGTTTTGTTACATGTAAAACATTGTGTTTTATTCTTTGCCATTGCCATGTCTTTGAATTGGAATTTATAGACAAAATTCTTCTTATCTACTTTTATAAAAATAAACTTAATAATTCAATGACAATAAAAACGTCGTTTAGTGGTAGGAGAAATTGGAAAAGAATATTATTGTGACAAAATCTTACGAATAAAACAGATGTAGTATCTAAGATGGTTGGACAAAAATTAAAAATTGATTTTTATGAAAATTTTTCAATGAAAGTATGTTTTAATGTAGATTGAGGGAATATTTGTTAGTGAGTTCTCATTGATTGACATCCACCCTTGTTGCTACTTAACTAATGATAGATTAAAACACCGGTAATATCTTACAAATAAGAAATGAAACAATAATACTCTTTTCTTCAATACTTTTGAAAATAGATTATTTCATCATTGAAGAAAATGTTACGTAAATATCTACTAAACACACCTAAATACGAAGAAAAGAAAAATAAGCAAATACAAATATGATATTTTTCCTCTTGAAAATTACCTACATAAGCCATTTCTTTTTTATTTTGTCACCATCATTTGTGTAATGTAAACTAACGTTGTATGATAACTTGTTGTATCTATTTTCGTCCTATTCTTAACAAAATTTCGACGAAGAAAGGTAAACGAAGAAAAGGAATGTACGAATATTGAATCATTATTTGTTTGTTTTTTCGAATAAATAAATGTTTCGTAATACGACCAAAAAAAACCAACAAATGGTTTAAGTTATTTGTAGTTTTAGTTCTCGATAAAAGTCTAATCGATCAAAGTATAAGACTTACAATCAGTTTTTTTCAAAATAGAATATATAATAGAACGAGCAATATTCAAAATATCTTTGTTAAATAAAAGTAAGAAAAAGAATTTATGTTAGTTAACTAAATTTTATTTTTCATCTAACACTTTAAAAAGAAAGAAAAAAACTTATTCATGTTCAATAGCTTTCTTTTGTGGTGGTGGTTCAGGTATACTGAAATCATCCAAAAATGTTTCTTGTCGAACACGTACAATTGTATAAACATAAATAGCTATAGCTAGAGCACCGAAAGATAAACCAATAATTCGTGCTCGTCGTCGTTCTCGTTGACGTCTATCCACATTTCTCATATGTCGTTCTTCAAAACGTTTTATATAAATTTGTTCAGCTTCAGATAATTCATTCGTATTAAGTAATGGCATTACTGTTGGATCATTTGATTGACGTACATTCGAAAGTAAATTATTTCGTGATGTTATATTTGATGATTGTGTTGCTAAACAACGACGAAACAGAGGAAGACGAAGACGAGTTACAAATAAACTTAAAGATGACATCTAAAAAAAAGAAAAATAAGAAGAGAGAAACAAATTCATTTATTTTTCTGATATATAATTTCTTTATGTCCCTCTTTAAATGTAATATATCGTGCTAATGTAAATAAATAATCACTAAGTCGATTTAAATAAATTCCCATAATTGTATCTTGTTGTTCTTCTCCTTCTATATTCTGATTATTTAACCATTTTGTTAATAAACGTTCACATCGACGACAAACAGCTCTTGAAAAATGAAGATTAGATCCTGTTTGACTTCCACCACCAGGTAAAATAAAATGACGTAATGCTGGTAATTCATTTGTCATTTTATCAATTTGTTCTTCTAAATTATTAATTAATATTGAATCATTAAATGTAAAACGAGATGAACGATTATTAGCAGCTACACATGAACCAATTTCAAAAAGACGACATTGAATATTTTCTAATTCTTTTGATAATTCAGGAATTGAACAAGTTGAAAGAACAATACCAAGTGTTGCTGATAATTCATCAATTGTACCAAGTACATCAAATATTAATGAATCTTTTGATACACGATTTGAACCTGTACCTAACAAAGCAGATGTACCTCGATCTCCTGTACGTGTATAAACTTTTGGTAATTGTGATGATTTATGTATTGTTGCATTTTTATCATGTTCAATATTCACAGTATTCCTATATAATATATTAAATAAATTTTTTGAACTATAATTCAAAATAAACTAACATACGTCAATTGTCTCTTTTGTATGAAATTTTTGAAGCCATATAAATTATCTATAGAATAATCATATACTTATTCGATTAGGTAAATCGTCTATGTTTATATTACCTGTTAAAGTCGTAGAAAGAATAATATTTTCATTTGATGGAGATGATAATCTTTGGAATGAACGTGTTGAAGAATTTATTACTATTCTACTAGTAGCTATGAAATGTGTGAAGGATAATCGAAACATTTATCTAAAATCAATGAAAAATATTGAACATTCTATTTAGGTTTTATTAGTTTTACAGCATTTATGACGATCTTTTTTCTTTTGATTGTATACATGGATACATAAATAGTGAGAATTGATGTAGAAAAAAATTCCTCAAAGAAATTTAGAGATCTGAAAATCTATATTATAGCAAAAGAGTGTTTTTTCATTATTTCGATTAAATACTAACAGAAGTAATGATATATTTATCTTGATTGGCTATTATGGGAGAAACGAAAGAAGGGATTTTGATGATAGATGTCACTTATATTTATGTGTTGAAATATAGAATGTAAAAGTTACGTGTAAAGACATACTAGATGTCGGGCGCCATATACTACTGAGTTATATTGCTTATTATAAGCTCACTAAGACATGGAACGACTTGTTTCATCTTTATCTCGTACATCGGTTGCATCGACTCGATGTTTATCACAATTGATGCGAAATGTGCGCGGTGCACATAGAGTCCATCCGGAGTCATTTCTTAGTGGATCTTCATCAAATTACATTGATGAAATGTATGAACAATGGTCTAAAGATCCTCATTCAGTACACAAATCATGGGATCTTTATTTTCGTAATGAAATTTATCAACGATCTCCAACAATACGAGTTAATCCATTATCATCAGGTTTTCTCCGACAAAAACAAAGACAATTACAAACAATTCGTTCAGACACTGGTGATGCTCTAGAACATCCACTTGATATGAAATCTATAATAGATCATATGGCTGTACAAGCACTTGTACGATCTTATCAGATGCGTGGTCATAGAATAGCACAACTTGATCCACTTGGTCTATCATCAGTTGATCTCGATGCTGAAAAACCCAATGAATTAACACTTAAATTTTATAATTTCAATGAATCTGATCTTGATCGAAAATTTCTTCTTCCACCTATAACATTTATTGGTGGACAAGATAAAGAACTTACTTTACGTGAAATTATAAGACGATTAGAAGATATTTATTGTCAAACAATTGGTTTAGAATATGCGTATATAAATAGTGAAGAGAAACGTAACTGGATTCGACAAAAATTTGAAGATCCAAAAGAGAAAAAATTCGAAATTAAAGATATTGAACGTTCAGTTAAACGACTTATTCGAGCAACAAAATTTGAAGATTATTTAAACAAAAAATGGAGTGCAGAAAAACGTTTTGGTCTTCAAGGATGTGAAGTTTTAATACCAGCTATGAAAATGATTATTGATACAGTTGCAAGTAAAGGTGTTGATACCGTTATTATGGGTATGCCACATCGTGGTCGTCTTAATGTACTTGCGAATGTAACACGTAAACCATTAGAAGAAATATTTTGTCAATTTGATCCAAAATTAGAACCATCAGATGTTTCAGGAACTGGTGATGTTAAATATCATTTAGGTACATGTATTGAACGTTTAAATCGTGCATCAAATACGGTGGTTAAATTTGCTCTTGTTGCCAATCCATCACATTTAGAAGCTGTTGATCCAGTTGTACAAGGTAAAACTCGAGCTGAACAATTGTATCGTAGTGATAAACATGGTGATAAAGTTATGAGTATATTATTACATGGTGATGCAGCATTTGCTGGTCAAGGTGTCGTTTATGAAACATTTCATTTAAGTGATTTACCAGCTTATACTACTCATGGTACTATTCATATTATTTGCAATAATCAAATCGGCTTTACAACAGATCCACGTATGGCTCGTTCAAGTCCGTATTGTACTGATGTAGCACGTGTTGTTAATGCTCCAGTATTTCATGTTAATGCTGATGATGTATCATCAGCATGTTGCAAAAGTAGCTGCTGAATGGAGATGTAAATTTAAAAAAGATATTGTTATTGATCTTGTTTGTTATCGTCGTCAAGGTCATAATGAAACTGATCAACCTATGTATACACAACCATTTATGTATAAACAAATTCATAAACAAATTCCTGTATTAAAAAAATGGGTCGATCAATTAATTAGTGATGGTTCAATTAAACAAGATTGGTATGAAGCTGAAGAAGTTAAATATCAAAAGATTCTTGATGATGCTTTTACAAATTCTAAAAATCCTGCTTACGCTAAAGATAAAAGTTGGCTTGATTCACCATGGAAAGGTTTCTTCATCGGATAAGGTCCTTTTCCATATCCTACGACTGGAGTATCTGAAGAAACTCTTCAAACTATTGGTGATAAAATTTATAAAGTACCTAAAGGTTTTAATCTTCATGATCGTCTTAAAGAACGTATTTTTCAAGATCGTGTTAAAATGTTACAAAAACGTGAAGTTGATTGGGCATTAGGTGAATCAATGGCAATAGGTAGTATTTTATTAGATGGTCATCATGTCCGTTTAAGTGGTCAAGATGTTGAACGTGGAACATTCTCTCATCGTCATCATGTTTTACATGATCAAAATAAAGATTTAGTATTTCATGTACCGATGAATTATCTTAATCCAACACAAGGTCATTATACAATATGTAATAGTTCATTATCAGAATTTGCTGTATTGGGTTTTGAACTTGGATATTCAACAACAAATCCAAATTCACTTATTATTTGGGAAGCACAATTTGGTAAGAAAAATATTAAAATTATTATTTTCTATGATTTATATATCTATATATATTTTAATTTAGGTGATTTTGCTAATACTGCTCAATGTATTATTGATCAATTTATTTCAAGTGGACAAGCAAAATGGGTTCGTCAAAGTGGTATTGTTCTTCTTCTACCACATGGATATGAAGGACAAGGACCAGAACATTCATCAGCACGATTAGAACGATTTTTACAGATGGCTGATGAAGATGAAGATCAAGTTACAGAAATTAAAGAAACAAAACA